TGTCAGACCCATGTACAAAATTGATAGGGGGGGGGGGGGGGTCCAAAAATCGTATACTAGGAAATTACCACATTACCACTTGTCAAACAAACATTACCATGTTACATGATTGAAAACTGTTGTTTTGTTGTTAGAAATTTATTTTGGTTCGATCAGCTGATATACTCTTGAATTAAGCTGCCTACAGACTACCAGTGCCAGAATCAGTCCTGTACCGACCCGGGTGGGAAAGTCTGCCAACCCTGCAGCCAGCCCCTCTGCTGATCCAGTACATTTAGAAATTAAATAAAAGTCGGTACCGTTCAGCAGAAATGATAATAAGAAGAAAAGGTGAGGAAAATATCTTCCCGCCGACTGAGTTTAAAGTTAATAAATTAAGGAAAGGGGAGTACATATGAATATGATATTGACTCAAGNGGAATTAGGTCGGTTGGTCATAGTGTAAAGAAACTTAGTTGCCCTGGCCTATATTTTTGTAATATTAGCATAATTACAGTATAAAAACAAGAACTGAAACAAATTAGAAGTTTTTTTATTAAAAAATTACTGGTATGACCGCGACCAAAGATCTCATTAGGAGAAAAGAAGACTTGTAGGATTCAGAAATGGATTTGAAACTTACTTTATCTCATTAAATATAGCTAAAGAATAAGATATAAATCATTCTCAAATTCATTCTAAATTTCCAAGTTTGGACAAGGTCTGGGACACATTTTTACTTTTCAGCAACAACCATGTTCCAGCCAACACTGGAAAGGTTTTGAATTTTTTTTCAGTTTTCAAGACTGGGTCAACTTTAAAGTGTCGCAACGTGTAGACCTTTGATTTAACCTTACTAACTAGCTTAAACATTTTTATAGCCCTAAACATTAAGTACATTTAAACATTTGAAAGCACTTGTTTTTGTTAATAAGATGTTGATGATGGGCCTGCAAAGGTTTTTATAAAATGTCCGGTATACAGGCGGAAAAAAAATTGCTAAAAACCAGATCACAATTCAGGCCTCGATGCAAAAAAATTATAGAGAAATCTCTAAAAGCGAAGTCAGAATGGAAATGTGGATCCTCAAAGGAATTGAATTTCTTTTTGTTGTATAGATGTATTTTGAGCATAGGCTCAACCAAGGTTATAATGGAAGGAAAGTTATTTCAGATGTGTACACTGTACACATCTTTTATACTGCAGTGTACTGTCTCTGGGCGGTAATGTAAACACAAGACGGATGTCAAAGCCTGACATGGATCCATCGTTCACATAAAAAATTTATGAAATATTCTGATCATAGGAAACTATTATGTGAATTATCAAAATTATCAAAATAATGCGTTTAACCTCCTCGGGTACTAAACGAACACTGATTCATCTATTCTTTACAAATTCCGCCCAGAGAGAACTGGTTTCAAGAGTATACGCAACTGCAATTAACTTTCCTTGCATTATAACCTTGCGCTCAACTGGCTCGTTTATAAGTTTTGATTAGATTTGAACAAAGTTACTAGTTTTGGTTAAACTTGAAAGTTTAAACAAATTTGAAGTTTCACGATTTTTAATGAAGAATTATTATAAAAACTGCATTAAAGGGACTATCCTCGTAATTTTAAGTCACCTTCCATTTTAAAGTGGGATACGCCAGATTCGAACCTAAGCTGATCAATAATGCTGAAGTCTTAAAGACTTACACCAATTTGATTTGTTCCTTCCGACGCGACTATTTGTTCATATCAACGTATCTATTAAAAAAATATTTCTTAAAAATCTTACTAAATCAGAGTTTTTTATAATCTATTTTTAGTCACGAATTTGAATACCTTAAGAACATTTATATATTTAAAACTTTGGCAGAATCATGAAATTGAGAATATATTTAAACCTCTTGTCTATTTATAAATCTATAAATATTGATTTACTTTTGTTTAAGTGTATTGTTAGAATCTGCTAGTGCCTGGTCTACTGTTTACTGGTTAAACTTTAATATTATTCCAGGAATTAGACTCCTTAGAATTAATTCAATTTCTGAATGGGAGTGTTAACAATATTTCAAGAAACTTTCTCTATTTAGCGGAAAACTGAATTTTTTAATTTAATTTTTATTTAGTGCTATTTTTAAACTCAAAGAAATGTGTACATAAGACATGTTTTAGCATAATAATATTTCTTTTTCATACGTTCCATTTGGACTCTGATTTTCTAATCTTTATAGCTTTGCAACCTGATGTCATAGACTTTTGATATTTTTTTTTTAAGATCGCACTTTCCTTTAGTTCCTGAATGAAAAAGTCTAAATAAAAAGTCTTCATTTTGCTGTAAAAAAAAATTGTAGGTTTTTATTATTATCAAGTCGCAGTGCGGTGATACAACTAATTTAGCATGATAAAAGGTGGCAGGACCGTCATATTTAGAAAATTGAACATCATCATTCCCCTCTACCTCCCCCTCCCCTCCTCTTCTTTGTTGAGGTGTAAAATGTTTTGTAAAGATTATAAAATTTTGTTCACTTTATAATTTTAAATTTTTATATTTTTTATTTTTGATAATAGGGAAAAAAATATACTTCATGTTTTGTATCCAACAAAGAAATTGTTAAGTGAAAAAATATAGTTGAAAACTTTTTCTGTTTAAATTTTCATCCATTTGTTCATTTTTCAACTTTTTAGCAATTAAAGATTAAATAGATAAAAGGAATAAGGATTGGAAAGATAAAGTATAAAGTATTAAAATGTATTTTATTCTATGTTAAATATCTGTGAGCCAGGAAAAAAAAATTATCTTGATCGTTTTTGGTTAGCGTTGCATTGATCTGCATATTTAAATAAAGAAATATTTGTCATGAAATTGTTATAATAATGGAAAATTTGCATGAGCTTAGTTGTTTAAAGTTTTAGGTTCGGAGAAAGGCGACACGTCTGCAAAAAAATAATGCTTTTTTAATATAGAAATGTATCTATGTGTGTAATAAATACAGTAATCCCCATATTTGTTAACCTGAACTTACCTAGATATATTACGTTGTACATTGTCTGTAAATCTAAATGCGCTTATCATTAACTATAACCCAAAACTTGTAATGCGATTAGCCTAGCCTAGCTACGTCTGAAGATGCGTCAAAACTTGTATTGTGATTAACTTATAACTACGTCAGTGAGTGGCTTAACTACGCTTATATATATCCGCGCTAATCTTGTAAATTCGTATATTAAACTTAATCGGTAACATAGATATCTAAAGACACTCATCTTTGATTACATTGATAAGAGTAATTTGGTTCTCGTTGAAACATAAGCGTTGTGATCGTACCCCTTGGTTGGGTATTGATCGCTAAGAGCTTGTGTCCCCGTGGACATTGATAGCTGAGATCGTGCCCATTGGTTTGGCATTGATCCCTTATAAGAGCTTGTTTCCCTGTTGATATTGATAGCTGAGATTGCGCCCGTTGGTTTGGAATTGATCACTGAAGAGCTTGTGTCCCTGTTGACATTGCTAGTTGACAGGTTGTACCTGGATTGATACGGGTCTGGGAGCAGTTTTACTAGTACGGCATTTAATTCAAAATTGGTAGCAGCGGCGAGAATTAAGGAACCCTTATTAAATGCCAAGAACTCCAAGAAAGAAAAATACAGCGATTACCTTGTGTAAATTGTAATAAGAGGAACTGTTTGAGAAGAAACAAGTTAGGATTGCTACCAGAGCGTACAGGGTTCCAGAATGTTTAGAATACCAGAATGTATAGAGTACCAGAGTGGACAGAATACCAGAGTCTACAGTATACCAAATTTGTAACAGTGAACAGTTTTAAATTGTACCCTAGAGTACCTAGTGGAGAATCAGACACCAGAGTACCAGAATGAACGGAGTACCAGACACCAGAGTACCAGAATGAACGGAGTACCAGACATGAAGGAAATAGAAAAATTGTGGAAAGAATTGAAAACAGTAAAAAAAGAGAAGAAAAATTGCGGAAAAAATTGAAAACAGTAAAAAAAGAGAAGAAAAATTTCGGTAAGAATTGAAAACAGTAAAAAAAAGAGAAGAAAAATTGCGGAAAGAATTGAAAACAGTAAAAAAAGATTGAGAGAATGAAAACAATGTTGGAGCAGAATAAGGAGATAAACATGGAAACACAATACATGGAGTCTCTAAATAAAATATTGATAGCTGAGATCGTGCCCATCAGTTTGGTATTGATCGCATGAGCTTGTGTCTCTGTAGACATTGATAGCTGAGATCGTGCCCATTGGTTTGGCATTTATTGCTAAGAGCTTGTGTCACTTTTGGCATTGATTGCTGAGATCGTGCCCATTGGTTTGGCATTGATGGCTGAAGAGCTTGTGTCCCTGTCGACCATGATAGCTAACGAATTGTACTTGGATTATACAGGACTGGGAGCAGTTTAACGAGTACGGCATTTAATACAAGTGCAATGTGCATGTTTTACATTCGTATTGCTTGTTTTTACATGCTGTTTGATTTAAAATGTCACCTTTAAAATCTGCGATATTTGCTTAATTAAGTACCGACAGTTCAAATATTTAGCATAACTAGGCTATAGTCATAATTTTAGCTTATAAATTTTGCTTTCAAATGAAACACCTTTTCTTCTTGTACGTCATAAAAACTAAAAATTTTTGAAGATTCTAATGATTTCTGTGGTGATTTTCAGAACTAAATCTATAAAGTCGAAATTTAAATTTTTAGGACAAATTTTTCATTCTGATTAGCTTCAAACGAATTTGAGTTTAATTAAGGTTCCACTAAAATAATTGGGCCCAGTCAACCTTTTTAGCTTTTATTGGATGCAAAAAAAGACAAAGCCAATACATATATATGATACATATGGGTAAAGTTACCTCGTGTCTGCTGGTTTGCTTCTGGGTTAGTTTGTTTCCTATTAAGCGTAAAAAAAGATGCACCAATGGAACCCCGGGATGATCGATAGAAAGTGAGGTGCTAACCTTAAATTTACATATTAGTATAATTTGGTTCTTAATTCGTGTTTGCTTGGGAGTAGCTGCAGGTGATAAACTATGAATTATTTACTTTAAAATCTGCGTTTAAACACGAACTCCAAAAACAGTTTTTTTTTATTAATTTTACGAATATCTTTATAAATACAAGCTTGTCTTGTTTGGGTGTTTGTCCGTAGGTTAGTTTCTATACAATAAACGTTAAAACGGCTGAACCGATCAGGTCCAAAATTTACTGTGGCTACTCACATCATTCACATGGTAGCTTGTAGAGAATCGTTTATAAAGTAAAATATTCTTTGTGGATAAAGCGGCACGAAGGCCGCGAACACCCTGTAAACGAAGGCCGCGAAACACCTTGTAAACAAAGGCCGCGAACACTCTGTAAACGAAGGCCGTGAAACACCCTGTAAACGAAGGCCGCGAAACACCCTGTAAACGAAGGCTGCGAAACCCTGTAAACGAAGGCCGCGAAACACCCTGTAAGCCTAGTTTGATAATTGTAACTACAGAAATCAATTGTTAAAAAGGCAAATAGGTCTGAAAAGTAGAAGGTGTTGAACGTTCTGTATTTAAAATATGGTTTGAAAGTTGTAAATGTTTTGTAAATATTCTATTTGTCAAAACAAGTCAATAATTAGCTTTTTATAATTCCCAGCCACAGAAAGTAATCAATGAAAATAAAAAGCTTTATTTACTATTTATTTATTTATTGGAATCCCAGCGCTGCCCAGGTTACTAAAAATTACTCTTGCCGTTTACCCGCACTTGGACGATTTTACCGTGATACTAAATCATCGCTATTAAAGTCGATCCACTCAACGTAGAATCTCAAAACCGAGTTAAGAACATTCCCTAGTTACCCAATCATATTTTGAGGCAAATCGGTTAAGGGGTTCCTGAGTTTTGATCGGACAAACAAGCAAACAGACAGACATACAAACAGAGATTATAACTTTTTATATAAAAGATATACATAGCTTGTCTGGGTGTCTGTTTGTATCCAATAAACATCTGAACCGATCGGACCCAAATTTTTTGTCAGACCTCAGACCTTGGGAAGGTTTATGGTTAATCAAATTTCAAAAATATGCTTCTACCAAAATTCGATTTTGAAAGTTTTGAAAATCCACGACATATCTATATATAAATTTGGCTTGTCTGTCTTTGTGTCTGTCTGTCTGTTTGTATCCAATAAACGTCAAAACGGCTGAACCGATCGGGCCCAATTTTTTTGTGAGACATCTAGGGACTCCAGGGAAGGTTTATGAATCATCAAAATTTCAAATATTTGTCTCCATCAAAATTCGATCGTCATTAAATTTTTAAAAATTTTGAAAATCCGCGAAATTTTTTGTGAAAATCCGCGAATTATTTTTGTTTTGTTTTAGAAAGAAGGGCGCGAAGCGCCTTGAATTTCTAGTTTTTTTTTTATAAAATTCGCAAATTTTTTGCTTTGTTCTCGTTTTACTATTTATACTATTTATACTATTTATATATATATACAAAGAGAAAATGTTCACAATTAAAATAGAAGATGGACGCGAAGTGCCCTATAAGCCTAGTGTATATAGATTTTCATAATCATTTCTTTTTTTTGTTAAGTAATTTAATTATTGGGTACAACTACAAATGTTAATGTTAAAATTTATTTATTTAATTTTCTTGGATTAGTATTTCTTCTTCTACATCTTCTACATCTTCTAGTGTGGTTAGAACATAGATTACAGCCTTCTCTATATCTTCCGTAGATATAACCTTGGGATAGGAGAACGATTCAACTAAAAATATCACAAATTCAAAAATTCGTCTTCAATTCATGATAGTAATATGAGTTCTGCTAGATCAAAGAGTCAAAGTGTGAACTATCAGAGGTTTACACCATCAGGTTGCAAGTATAAAGGGATTAGAAAATTAAAGATTATGGCAAGCATTAAATTCCTTCTTATACCTACCGAACTAAAATAGGAAATAAAAAGACAATATTTTTCATAATGTTTGGATTTTTTGTTTGTGATTCCTGGTGCATTTGCAAGATGACATGGTGCAGGAACAGATAGTGGCCGAGGGGTCCTAAAATTTAGAAGAAATTAGAATATAAAAAATCAAATTAGAAAAAATGGTTAAATTAAGTTAAATTAATTCTTACTTGATCGTAGTTATTAATGAACTACTTCTCCTTGGTGGTGGGGGTTTATGCCGAATGGTTCCAGTACTATTCCTCGAAGGTCTAGGACTAGGTTTAACTCCGCCATTCGTCAGATCTTTAGAACTCATGTGCAATCCTTCAGAATTGTGTACACTATTGTTCCGCAGTTTCGAGGATTTTTTCCTCAACGGTACAGGACTTCTGGAAGGGGAACTGTTGTTGTTGGAAACTTTGGAAGGAAGATTTTCTAGTTTATCATTTGAAACTTCAAGGTCGGGATGAATATCTATCTCCGTATATTGATGGATTCCATTTTTAAATCCGCAATCTATTGTGGAAGCTCGTCTGTGTTTCCTACTTTTATAGTGTATTCTTATAATGACATAAATGAAGATACAAGAGCAAATGAATAAAAGTATTGAAGCTATTATTAGCAAAGTTGTTTGAGTAATAGCATGAAGTTTGCTCACATAGTGGGGTTTAGGAATAAACATTTCTTTCTCAGAGATAAAGTTACTTATAGAAAAATATTCATTGTTATAATAAAATAAAGGAGAATTATTTTCAACTGAAAGTTTAATTCTACTGATATTAAGGTTAAAGAATAAACTCACATTTACAAAAAACGGTTTAAAACTTAATTCATTAACGACTATATCTAAGCTGTCACTGTCTGTCAAGTTTGCAAGTGAGTTTTGTAATAACGAAATGAATTCTAAGCTCTGGGCAACAAGAACTGATGAGTTTCCATTTAGCTGGATAAGATAGTGTTCAATCTTGGGTGTACTTTCAACACTAATATCTTGGCCATAATCTGAAAAACATAAACTTTAAAGGGAGTGTTCACAAACAAGTGTCTAGGCTAAATTTGATTTTTTCAGTAATTTAAAAAAAACGTTTAGAAAAATCGTTCGAAAATGGAATTAAATTTGGTATGCTTTCATTGTAAAAAGGAAAGGATCAGTTTGAAATTAAATAAATGAATTATGTTTTAACTGCGATATACCTTTACTGGATTCTGCACTATAAGCGACGATATATCATATAAAAGAGACTATTTGATTCCTAATTATATTCAGGTTCATCCTTTACCCCAATTTTCGCGAACACTCTCTGTTGGAGAATGTAGAAAAGTTTTAAAGATAGTGTTTTCAAACTTTTAATGTATAAAGAAAACCCTTTTTTTCGGAGAAAGATTAAGCTTTTTGAATAGAAAAACGTTCTCATTTTATTATCAATTTTTACACATTAACTATTTTGAGGGAGGGGGAGGAGGCCCACCTGCTATAGCCTTTGTTGTAAGAAACTGCAAAGACAACAGTAATACAGCAGTACGCAAAATCATTTTTCTTGAGCAGTAATCTGAAAATAAAATTTGATTTAAAAATTCTAACCGTTTATAAAGACGCAAGTTTTAGAGGTATCTATAAAAATAGTATTTAAAAATGTTAAAAGGGACTGTAGCTGTAATTTCAAGTGAACCTACATTTATAAAGTTGTATATCCGATTCTGAACCGTTCCCTTAAAAACTTTGTGAGAATCAAACACTTTTCAAAGTTATAAAAACGACAATATCTTCCACATTATTAATCAGATAATGGTTTCAAGTACACCGTTGTTAATCGGCCATGCCCCTTGTGGAGTATAGGACAGAAGAATAGCGGCATCAGTTACTTAATTCGATGTTAAACAATAATTAAATAGATTTTTTGATAAAGTAGAGAATAACAGTTTTCTTGAAATCAGATTATCTGATTTTCAAATTCAAAGCGAGACAAAATACCAAATAATAATTATTAATAATTTTTATTGCATCATCAAAGTCATTGAAATTAGAGCACCGCCCCTTTTACAGATGATGATTGCTTAAACTTTGTTCGAAGCCTATTCTGACTCCCTTTGAATCCCTTAAACAATGTCTAGTGTAAACAATTAACAAGAAAGGGAAATGACATTTAGAAAATGTCATTATATTTTCATGATCTACATTAGGTCCATTGTCCTTCTAGCCTTTGCAATATATGCATAAAGGGACTGTTCGCGGAACAGATGGATACATTTAAAAACACAAGTAAAAAAGAATTGAGTCTTTTTCAATTGTCATTAACTCTGATTTTCTATTCCCAATATCATTGCAACCTAATGTTGCAAAAACTCGATTCCTTTCAGATTTAGTAAATCCAGTAATTTCTACGACTAAGATGTAATATACCATCATGGACTCTCTGTGTTTATATTCTTATGAGATATGACTGGCCTGAAAATCATTGTTAATTTCTTCATTTTTCTAATAATTTTTTAGAAATTTTTAGAAGAAAAAAATCTATTCCAATTTATTTCTATTTCAGTATTTTTAATAGGTTTTAAATTACATCTCATACATGTTCCTGTATAGCTGTATTTTCTAAATTGAATTAAAATTGTTTTTCTAAAAACCAATTCCGCAAGCATGCAACGTCGTACCATTTTTTCATATGTAATTACACATAAAAATTATTATTATAAAAACTATTGGATTTTAAATAAATATCTAAATTTTAAAAGTATTATTATAGTTTCTTTTTGAGTTTTCCAATACTTCTCAATTTCTCAATTTCTCAATTGGTTGCAAGATGTTGATTGACTAGTTGACACGCTGTAAGCATAAAAATTAATGACTGTTCAATGATTTTTATGATGTCTTATCAAAAGATTGATCAAATTCATATTTCGAAATAGTTCTATTCACTGTGAACATTGAGCAAACTTTTTTTGTAAATCTAGTATGCCACCTATCTACCCAGAAATGCGCGAAAAGTTATGTTTTAAAAAGTATGAACAAATATTTGCAACTCCCCCCCCCCACAGGCAAATACATTATTTGGAAAAGTTATGTTTTAAAAAGTATGAACAAATATTTGCAAACCCCCCCCCCCCACAGGCAAATAAATAATTGGGAAAAGTAAGTAACAATTCCTTGAAGATGCAACAAACCAATTATTTTAAACAATGATAACAGCGAACTTGAAATATCCTAATTTGTATTTTTAGTACCCACAAACCTAAAACTGGTTTGGGACCATATTTTGGCTACACATCTTAGTTAAATAATTCGCCCACATAGCACCATTTTCTTTACTTCTTATATACAGGGATATCCACAAATTATGAGACTGTAAAAACGACTAAAATATGATAATTTAACGGTCAAATTAAGTTTTTTTTTGCAAATATTATTAGTTGGCAATGAAATAAACAAGCTTACAGTTGAGCCATTCATCGAGCCATTAATATAAAAAAGAGTGAGTAAATTCCGTACAGTCGTCTTTGAAGTCAAATCCTTTGAGGGTTACCCTGTATTAAAACTATAAGAATAGTATAACAATCATGAGAATAATCATAATAATTAAAGGTATGAAATGACAAATTGAAATGAAAACGTTTCCAAATTATCAATTATTTAATGAAACGATTTCAACTGTTTTAAACATGTCTCAAAACTAATAGGATATAGATAATAACACAGTATTTACTGCCTTCGGTCGACAGGATTCTAAATTGGATTGGTACGGACAAAATATGAATATATTCTTTGAAGAAACGTTGAAATTTTACATTTAATATACTTCTATTTTTTACTTACGAACGAAAATAAAAAATGGACGTACAAAGATGTCATGTGTTTGTTTACATTTCGAATACCTAGCAGTACACCTCGTAAATAGTTTGTATATTTGCACTGTGATGTGTACACTACGACCTCTAGTTAAAGACTCAACTTAAAGCCTGAAATTCTAAACACAAGCTCAAAAGTTTCAGGGATGAATGATTCGCCTATGAACGCTCCCCTGTAATTGTACTCTTCAATTAATCATGATTCTAAAATAATGTCTTAAAAATGCAAAAATATCAAAAATATTTTTTGAAAATATAAGTACTTTACCCTGAAATGCACCTTATAATCTTGCCTATAGTTCAGGGCACTATGAGCAGTGCCAAGTTCTAAACTGTGTCTGCTTATTTACAAATTAAAATGAAAAATTGAAACAACATTTCAATACATACAATCTACAAATTACTGACATTGAAAGATCTGCATATGCCCACATGAACATAATATCAAAAACATAAAAAATGATAAAACTCTTGAAGTAATAATATTGTAAACCTATAAGCTGTAGAAATGATCTGGATGTGTTATCATGGTAGGCTACACTGTAAAACCAATGTCTGCTAAACTTTACAAACTCTGTCTGCTACTCTAAGCTGTTGTCTGCTACACTTTACATGACATTTATACAGTAAATAAGCTGTGTCTGCTACACTTTACAAGCTGTGTCTGCTATACTATATGGTGTGTCTGCTACACTATATGTTGTGTCTGCTAGACTGCTTAACTATACAACCTGTGCCTTCTACAATATATACTGTGTCTGCTACACTATAAAAGTTGTGTCTGCTCCACTACATAAGCTGTGTCTGCTACACTATATAAGCTGTGTCTGCTACACTATATAAGCTGTGTCTGCCACACTATATAAGCTGTGTCTGCCACACTATATAAGCTGTGTCTGCCACACTATATAAGCTGTGTCTGTACATATATATATATTGTAAGCTGTGGCTCCTTGCACTGTAGAATCTGTGTCTGCTACAGACAGTATATAAGCTGCTACAGACAGTATATAAGCTCCTACAGGAGGATCCTGAAGATATTTATCAAGATGACAAGAATTATTGTGGAACAAACAAAACCAAGGTTGTTTATTATAATTCATATTTTCATCCATTTTTCAGTTACAAGAAGTGTCATTTTAGACATAAATGAAGAAAAAACATGATGTTATCACAATGAAAGAACTAAATCCAACAAATGTCTCTCTATGCACATTGAAAATTAATAATTTTTTGTTCTAAAGTTTGTAATTTTCTACATATTAAGGAGGTCATTCCCCCCCCCTTCTCTCATCACAGAAACACCCTGTTTGAACTTATTTTTAAATCTACGAATTAATTAAAAGTTCTCAAAATTCCAAGTTTAATAATGTTGATGAATACAGAATCATTTACCAAATGTAATTAAGCTTTTAAATGAAAGTTCTAAAAAGATTTGAAGAATTTGATCAATGTCATTAAATAAAGACTGAAAAAAGACACATAATTTGTAAATAGAAATACTGTTGTTTAAATATTTTATTTAAAATATAGAATTAGATGAAAATTTTAAAATGTTTTAACATCCAAAATTAAATACGCAGATCCTAGTTGAAAAATTTATCACAAAATTAGCATCTCTAGTTTAAATCTCAGTCCTGTATCTCAGACCTGTTTCCAGTCCTGTATATCAGACCTGTTTCCAGTCCTGTATCTCAGTCCTGTATCTCAGTCCTGTATCTCAGTCCTGTATCTCAGTCCTGTATCTCAGTCCTCTATCTCAATCCTGTATCTCAGTCCTGTGTCTCAGTCCTCTATCTCAGTCCTGTATCTCAGTCCTGTGTCTCAGTCCTGTATCTCAATCCTGTATCTCAGTCCTGTATTTCAGTCCTGTATTTCAGTCCTGTATCTCAGTCCTGTATCTCAATCCGGTATCTCAACCCTGTATCTCAATGCTGTATCTCAGTCCTGTATCTCAGTTCTGTATCTAGTCCTGTATACGGTCCTGTATCCAGTCCTGTATCCAGTCCTATATATTAGACCTATATCCAGTCCTGCGATCTCAGAGTCCTATATACAGTCCTGTATATTAGACCTATATCCAGCACTGTTCCTCAGGGCAAATACATCATCATATTTGAGATGCTAAGTAGGGTGCAAACACCGCAAAAACTCTCGTGGACCAGGAATGGTTCCAAAAAATGATTCTATCAGCGGCATCTGTCTGTTCAAACCAGGGTTTGGAAAATACTTCTCAGTTTTGCGTGCTCATTTCTTTTTTTTTTAAATTCATAAACGTCCCACGCAAAAATAACTAGACCTAAGCATGTCAGGACTTTATCAAAATAGATTCAGTCAAATGTTAGACGATCATTCAAAAGGTTTAAAAACTAAAATACTGAACATACGTTTAAGAGAATCGACAGTAAAGACTAACTTACTATTTTTGGTCTCTGAAAATGTGTCAAGGGAAAAGCTCGGGACAGTTTTGTTTTGTTCTGTTTCGGATTTTAGTCAGATTTGCCATACTAGACTTTTAGGGCGCTTCGCGCCCATCTTCTATTTAAATTGTGAACATGTTCTTTTTGTTTACATTTTAAAACAAAGAAGAAAAAAATTTTTCGGATTTAAAAAAAAAAAATTCGCGGATTTTCAAGAATTTAAATTTTTTTTACAAAATTATAAACCTTTAAAACACATTTTTTTATTTTTATCATTCATAAACCTTCCCTGTGGTCACGTGATGTCCCACAAAAAATTTGGGCCCGATCAGTTCAGCCGTTTTGACGTTTATTGGATACAAACAAACAGACAGACAGACACCCTGACAAGCCAAATTTATATATAGATTCTTGAAAATCCATGATTTAAAGAAAAAACATTTTCCAGAATATTTTATGTCTTTAAAGTTGACTGTGAAGTGATAGACTTCGTCCGACTTTAATAATTTGCAGGAGGGAGCAGGAGGGAGCAGGCCTTTTTTCCTTTGAAAAACAGTAATACAATATTTTCTAATCAACTTAAAAGAAATTGAATCTTGAAGAAGGGACTAAGGACAAGGCACTGGATTTGAACCAGGCTTAGTTCTAAATTGTCCAGCAAGCAAAAGATCAAAATTGTGGCTAAAAATTTGTTGATTAGTTTTTTAAGGTTTCTTGGCAGATTTCTTTTGCCAAAATGTTTTCGGTGATTTGTTAAAAGATTGAGGTCCAGTAAATCGGATGAAATTCTAATAAAAATTTAGAATAAGGTCAAGGTTTTGATATCCTAAATTTCATAATTCAAAGATTAAAGATGAGTTCACAAAAACACTGTTCAGATCTTTCTTTATAAAGCTAAATTCTGGTTTTAAATTTGGAAGATGTCGTAAAAGATTATTTAGAAGAAAAACCTTTAAACTTTTCTTCTCATAAAAGTCAGAAAATTACACGAAAGGTTTTTCGAAAATTCTATTTTTAGAAGACAAAGAAAAAGACAGAAGTATTTACTTGCGCATAAATATTGATCAAGATTACAACCTCTTCTGTTTAATCAGCCCGTAGCAAGTTTTATTTCAGATTTTTTAAAAATTCGTTTCTTCTTAATTTAAAGCTTAATTATTTATGTAACAAAAGCTAACAACTGTTCTTCCATTAATACTTTTGTCTCATCGAAGTATCTTTAAAGTAAAATCCTGATTTTAAGAATTTAACAGACAATTTGTTTTATTGAAGTAAGGAACCCAAACTTAATTTCCTAAGGGAGTTGTGGGAAACACGAGAAGGGAAAAAATCAGGAAAGAAATTACCCACCATAATACATTCTCAATTTCTAATATATCAATATATGTCATCTTGACAATTTTTCAATGGGTTTTATACTATTTTACGTAAATCTCAGTATTTGCGAAAATAAATAAATAGCCATGAATATGCGGGAACAGTTTTAAAGAGCTCCATATAATCATTTCATTAAAAACTTTTATCTGCAACATTCCATTATCAGAAAGTGAAGAATACGACATTTGATAAATTCTTTCGATGAATGGCTTATTTAGGGTTTAACTGTACCTAAAATGCTAAAAACCTATATTTTTCCCAGAAAAGAAAAGAAAAAAAATAGGTAAAGAATATAAAATATATAAAGATAATCACTAACCTGATTTAAAAAAATAATGGCCTAACCCCCTCTCTTAAATTTAATTGTATTTGAAGGGAATTGAAATGTTCAAACACACAAAATCGGCCCAAAATGGGAGTTGCTTTTAGAAATCTAAAAATTTGTTTAGAAATCTAAAAATAAAATTCCAGATAAAAAAATAAGAGAATGCCACGAGAGGGAGGAAGTAGAAGAGGTAAAATTTAAACTTAGCTAAAATTAAGTTTGTTTTTGAAGTCCAGCATGTTGGAACATTATCAGTTATCACTCCGATTTAATTTGTCAGCAAACATTTAAACCGATGTCGTACGTACATCGGAGATATCGGAGACCGATATAGGTCCGAACGAGGGACTTCGACGTAATCTTCTCAAAATTCGCAATTATCTAACAATATTATACAAACTGGAGGAATAAATGAAAATTTATAACTTTGGGTAATTATTTCTGGAATGAAAAAAATTGCCATTTTTCTTGCTGTATGTTATAAAGAAGTTTTTATAGTAAGAAGATACTTACATAAGTTTCATTATTGTATTTAAACCTGCAATGAATTTGCAACAATCCAATTGCAAACTTGGAACTGAAAATTACAGTGCTTGCACTAATTGTAGCTTTACCTAACTTTGGGGATAATTTCAGGATTAAACACGTTTCATTAACCAGGCATTAGCATAATCGTTTGTTTGTTTGATTGTAACCAATAAACGTAGAATCGGCTTAGCCAATAGGGCACAATTTTTTGTGGGACCTCACATGACCCTAGAATGTTTTTAGGCTTTCAGCTGAGATGAGATTTTAAAAGGTTAAACCCGAGTTAAACCCGGTCTTTGTGTCTGTTAGACCCAAGTAAAGCTCAAGTGAAGACCTGGGTTTTGGATGGCCTTGAGTTTAGTAAGAACCAACCACCTTGGGGTTTTCTCTTTTCAGCGGGCTGATGATAGTAAATTTTAAAAAAAAAATTTATTTTGTACATTTAAAATCTCGGGAATGGTTAGAATACATTTTTTTCTTCGATTTTTCAAATCCACGAAAAGTATTTACACATACGAAATATTTTTTTGTTATTTGATGACTTAAGAAGAAAAATACCGCAGCTAGGTAGAGCGCCCTGTAAACCTAGTATTCAAATACTTCTTTTTTTGTTCAGCAAACTGTAGGATTTATCAAATAAAGAGTTTTCAAATCAAATCAAATATTGCAAAACATTAATTCTAATTATGAAACCTCATATCGAGTCGAAGAGTAAATATTTAAATACTTGTTGTAAACATTTTAGAAAAAAAAAAAACCTTTTTTGATAGAATTAAATGTCAGAGTCAACTCTGTAATCATAGATATTGATATAAAACTACTCTTTAAAGAAAACTTTTTATAATTGATTGCTTTTAATGGGATACGTAGCCAGGGTGATAATTTGAAGGAAGTAAAACTTGGAAATCCCCCCCCCCTCTCTGCTTATAATTTCCACTGACACTTTGTCTATTTTTTGTACTGGGGAATATGTTCTTTCTTGTTTAAATTTCTAACTATATGTTGAGAGCGTGTAATAAACTGTAAAATCTGCAAAAATAAACAAATTTCTAAATGCTTTTTAAAAAAAATGGAGTTTCAAATTTCAAATTTAATAATTTTCTTCTAGACGAAAAAGTTGAATTATCTCTAACATTTGTTAAAAAAGTTTTTGATTTCCATTAGTCTTCGCTTACAAACTCTTTTCATAAAAGAATGACACTGCTTTTATGACAAAAAAGATAAGTATTTGGTGCAAATGGTTGTATTCTGGCTTCAAGAGTTAATCTTCTCATTTTTCAAATATCTTTAGTTATATTGAGGTCTAAATTCGAAATTAAATATAAGAAAATCTTAAAAGTAAATTATATTATAAATCTTAAACATTTTATATTCTCTCCGCGTAATGGAAACAGCAATCGTTATCAATAAAAAAATAACAAAATCGTAAAATATAAACTCCGTTTAATTGTTATAATTTTTGAGATTAAAAGGTTTAGTAAATAGTTGCGATCTGAAAAGAAAAAAGTAAAATTGAATATTGAATAAGGATAAAAATATTCACTTCCTCCAGAATGAACATCTTATCCTACATTACATATCAAATATATTGTAATCTGATCCCCTGTTTAGATATGTAAATATAGGAAAATTCATGTCATTCAATTTGTTAAAAGCTTCAGAAGATAAATGGCCATCATTTTAAGAAAAAATGGCAAAAAATGTTTATAGTAATCAAACAAATTTTCTTTGCAGTTTTTGGGATCTAGAAATATAGATTTCAAAACTATTTGAAAGACATTTAACAGCGAGTTGGTCACTAATAGGGTTTTCAGCGAACGTAAACTTTTGCAAAAAACGCAAAATTTTCGTTCGTATTTCGCAAACTTTTCCGCGAAATTTCGCATTTTTTCCCGAGACAGTTTTAAGTGATATTTTGAAAAAAAACGTCGCATTTTTCGCGACCGAGCGAAACGTTTTCGCTGCATATCTATTGAAGAAAAGTCCTTTTAAGAAAACGTCTAAGACTTGACTAAATTTTAGGACTTTTTCTTTGTTTTCTTTTCTTCGGATTTATTTTCTTCAGGAAGTTAATTTTTGTGATCTCATTTACTGAGACTTTTTTTTGGCAGCCTCCATATTATTTTTGAATTCCAGAAAATTTTTTCTGGTGACTTTCATAAAATCACGTTACTAGTTCTTGAGACATTTATTTTATCTTATGAATACATATTTAGGTAAAGGAGGTAAATGGAAGAAAAAATCAGGAAAAACTAAACACACTCTTACACAGGTGTTTACAGTATTATTCATTGTACAATATATGTACATTGTATAAGGTACATTGTACAATACATGTACAATGTATAAGGTACATTGTACAATTTATGTTAATTGTAAAATAATAAATAACGCATTTATGTTACAAGTAAATTACACTTCTATTTTATTTTTGAAAGCAAGATGAAAAGTTTAAGACAGTGAAAAACATAATAAGACACGTTTCTTCAAACATTTTCACTTTCCAAACCATTAATGATAAATATATTATTATTCATACTATAAGTGTTAATTTTAATGTAAAGGCATTAAAAAAACCTCACACTTCTTTTCCCTTTCAGAGGATTTATTATTATCTGATCATAATGAAATTAAATTAGGATCGAACTGGTCCAGCTACACGTAAAAAGAATAGACAAATAATAAGCTAAAGGTATGCTCAGAACTGGCTTATGAAAGACAAAAATCTATTTTAAAGTATTTAATAATAGAATAAAACTCTGGACATTTTGTTGATTAACAGATTACAAGTTCAGGATGGAGCTACTATGAACAAACATCTATGTAGCCATTGCCCAGCAAATTCAGAACCAGTTCCTTCATTTATTATGCAACAAACTTGTAAACAGCCCCCGCAGCCAACCTCTTATGCTTTCAACAACAGTTTCAATACATTATGGTTTACACCTGACAATGTCCAGCCTATAATTGAGAATATTTTGGTCTACACCTGACAATGTCCAGTCTATAATTGAGGATATTTTGGTCTACACCTACAAATGTCAAGCCTAAAATTGAGGATATTTTGGTATACACCTGAGAATGTCCAGCCTAAAATTGAGAATATTTTGGTCTACACCTAACAATGTCCCGCCTATAACTGAGGATATTTTGGTCTACACCTGACAATGTCCAGTCTATAATTGAGGATATTTTGGTCTACACCTGACAATGTCCAGTCTATAATTTATGATATTTTGGTCTACACCTGACAATGTCCAGCCTATAACTGAGGATATTTTGGTCTACACCTGACAATGTCCAGTCTATAATTGAGGATATTTTGGTCTACACCTGACAATGTCCAGTCTATAATTTATGATATTTTGGTCTACACCTGACAATGTCCAGCCATATATAATTGAGGATATTTTGGTCTACACCTGACAATGTCCATCGTATAATTGAGAATAATTTGGTCTACACCTGACAATGTCCAGTCTATTATTGAAGATATTTTGGTCTACACCTGACAATGTCCAGTTTATAACTGAGGATATTTTGGTTTACACCTGACAATGTCCAGTCTATAATTGAGGATATTTTGGTTTACACCTGACAATGTCCAGCCTATAATTGATGATATTTTGGTCTACACCTGACAATGTCCAGCCTATAATTGAGGATATTTTTGGCATAGTAAATGAGAAGGTTGCAAGAAAGAAATGTAAAATATTTCTGTCCACTGAAGCACGGTGAGGTAGGCTGATCAGTTCCATCCCCAAGTGATAAAGAGCTTTTTATTCAGAGTATGTTGAGCAAATCCGATATAGCTCAGTCCTAACACCCTAGAGACATTGTGATGTAAATTGCATTATGATCGGATAGTAAATAGTAATTCAGTCTCTGAGAGAAAAAGTGAGAATCGTTTTGTTCTTCATTGTGCATTATAAATGATGTTTTAAATGATAAAATACTATACATAATAAAGCTCTTCGCTTATACATATGAATATATTTGTTAGATATAACTGGCCAAACGACTGGACCAAATTGGCTGACATTTTTTGATGGGTCCCATGGGGGTAACACAGGCTAAACAACTTTTCTTCAAAAATAGATTTTTTTCAAAAATCATTTTAAATCAATCTTTTCCATAATGTTTTCAAAGTTCTACGGGCAACGTCGGGCACTTCAGCTAGTGAATGCTATAATAAATGGCAAATAAAAAAAGAAAATTATTCCAGGAAGACATTGAATATCTAAAACAGAACACAAGATACGATGAACAGGAAATCAAAGAGTGGTACAGGTATATCTTCTTTTTCTTCTTCTTCTTCTTCTTTTTCTTCTTCTTCTTCTTCTTCTTCTTCTTCTTCTTCTTCTTCTTCTTCTTCTTCTTCTTTTCTTCTTCTTTTTTCTGCTTCTTTCCTCGTATACTTCTTCTTCTTTCTAGATTAAAAGTTTTGTTCTTAAACTGCTTGTTATTGCTTTTACTTTTATAACTGTATTTCTGATTGACTGTACATCAATATAAATATATTATATACCTATGTAGAGGGTTCAAGCAAGATTGTCCAGACGGTCAGCTAGGTAAGGATAAGATCCTGGAGATGTACAGCATGATACTTCCTGCTGGAAACGCAAAGGAATCTTTTATAAAAAATAAATCATATTTTTAAAGTTATGTCACAGTTGTTTTCTCAATCAAATCAAATCAAATATTTTCTCCCTGGTTGTTAACAGAATTATTAAGGATTTTCAACTTAATTTCCAAAGTAGCATGCTTGATTGACAATGGTACCCTTTAAACCTTTATTTGAGCATAGTGTAGAGCCGCAAGTTATTTTGATTGGGAAACCAGAATAGGAAATAGTTTTTGTTAAGGCAAGGTATAAAGAATACTGCTGTGACCCTGTCCATTAAAAAGATTGTTATTAAAAGATTGTTTAAATCAGGTTTTTGTTGATCAAATATTCAGAATATTTGATAAAGATGGAAACGGAAGTATAGATTTCAAGGTCAGTTAGCAATAGTATTAAAGAAACATAACAATACACGTCAAACTAAAGTAAATTCCACTCATTGCAATCTAATATTTTTTAAACATAAATTCTCTAATTGAAGAGCTAATGAGAAAAACAAAAAATGTTTCTGATACGTAAACAGATATATTGGTTTATCATAATTGAGCATAAAATCAAAACTAGAGGAGCTACGAGGTCACAAAGTCGTAGCAGTATATTTAATTTTACCTTCTCCTGCTGCCTAGTTCACAGTACCAGTATATTATACCTTCTCCTGCTGCCTAGTTCACAGTACCAGTATATTTTACCTTCTCCTGCTGCCTAGTTCACAGTACCAGTATATTATACCTTCTCCTGCTGCCTAGTTCACAGTACCAGTATATTATACCTTCTCCTGCTGCCTAGTTCACAGTACCAGTATATTATACCTTCTCCTGCTGCCTAGTTCACAGTACCAGTATATTTTACCTTCTCCTGCTGCCTAGTTCACAGTACCAGTATATTTTACCTTCTCCTGCTGCCTAGTTCACAGTACCAGTATATTATACCTTCTCCTGCTGCCTAGTTCACAGTGAATAAAGATTTTTTATAAAAGGGTCTTCTACAATATCTAGTTCAGTGGTTTAGATGGATTGGTCGCAGTTTTAAATAAATTGTCTAAAGAAGATGAGTTTTAAACCTGATTTTATTAATCTTTATATCTCTGCAATCCGATGTCGTAAACCTTTGATATTTAAAACTATGAATTCTGTCAGGTTGAAATATCAACCAACAAGTTTCAAAGATAAATTTAAAGTTTGTGTCAAAAATTCATATTACTTAGTAGAAAGCTTTATCGTCGATAATTTTATTCTCTCCTCATCATACAACTCTTAAACATCACTTTTAGACATTGTTTTTGGAATGAAAGAACAAAACAGAAACGTAACATACAGTTTTTTGGTTTTTTAAAAATTTTTTGCTGAAACAAAAAGGGCTTACCAGTACCACACAGTTTGATGACTCGGAAATGGTAAATCAAAATTCAACAAAAATGTGTTAAAGCGATATTTTTTGGAGAACTTTACGATACAGAGGTAGATTAAAAATTAATTAATCAAATTTTTATTTTTTATTCAATTTCAATTAATAGATTTGTTTGGAAAGTAATATTTTTGAGTTTGCCATTTTAAAATGCATTTTGATTATTGACAGTCAACAGTGTTGAGGTGACAAGCGGAAGGAAAACACTATTGCAATTATACTTCAGAGATATCGATGCAATTTTAAAGCGATTGTTCCGAATAAAATAGATTTGAGTGTTGATTTTGATCAAACCTCATATAGTAATAAATCTATACATATAAAGTAATCTCTGTTTGTCTGTTTGTTTGTCCGATCATAACTCCGGAACCCCTAGACCGATTTGCCTCAAATTTTGTTTGGGGAATTCGGGAGAGCCACGGGAATGTTCTTGCTTGGTTTTGAGATTCTTAGTTGAGTGAATCTACTTTTATGATGAAAAATAGCTAAAATCGTAATTTACGACTAAGCGCGGGTAAACGGTGGGACTAACTGTGAGTACATTGTCTGGGTGTATGTTTGTTGTAGTGAATAACCTAGATGTGTGTTAAATATGCACTATGATCTTTTCCGTCCTGGTTAGGAGATTCTCAAATTCACAAAAGAACCTCTAAAACCTTCGTGTGGTACCGGCTGAACCGATCGGGGCCCAATTTCGCGTGGAACCTCCCCATGACCCTAGGGAAGGGTAATGGCCGGGTGCACAGAATTACAAAAAGTTGTTTTGAAAAGCTTTCAAAAAAGGGCTAAAAATATTTGAAAATCCGCGAACTTTTTCTTTTATTGTTTTATATTGTACAAAGCGAAGATGCTCACAAGTCCAGTCACAATTTAAAGTTAAGATACAGGATAAGCACGAAGCATCCTCAAAGCATAGCTTAATATATTCAGTTTAGACTTTCTTCCCTATTGTTGTTAGAAAAAGAAGGATAGCGTTGTGAATCAATCATGGAACTTTTTGAACGTAGAATATCCCAATAATATGTAAATCGAATATACAATTAAACCATTCTTGTCAAAGTCTTATTTTTGAATCAAATACTAATTATTGATTAGCAATTTATCCGTTAATAGATACAAGGAAGACAAAAAGATTCGTAACGCTTTTACAAACTTTTTAATTCATTTATTTATTTACTATTGAGATTCATGTATACGATATTCAAGTTGAGATTCATGTATAGGATATTCAAGTTGAGATTTATGTATAGGATATTCAAGTTGAGATTCATGTATAGGTTATTCAAGTTGAGATTCATGTATAGGATATTCAAGTTGTCTCCTAATCTACAGTTGTCTTTGCTAAATAATTGTTTTCTCTATTTATTTACCAATAAAACTGATATTTATATATTTAGGTCAATCCTATTCATTGACCTTCATAAATCTATCCTACTTAATCTATCCCCATGATATTGTAATCAATTTTATATTTCAAACATTTAATTACAATTAACCTTTATTAATCGAGTTTTTATAAGTCATCTGTATCACTATAGTCTCCATCTGTAAAGATTAAAAGGTTTCCAAGGTTAAAGGTTGAGGCGGGGGATTTAAGGTTGATGCAATACAGCTTTACCTATGATACATAATTAACTTGAAAACTATCTTTATCACTTGAGAAGTATAAAAATCTTAACCAAATCTAAAAATGTCGTAACATGCATTTTTATCCCATCTAGCCACTCAACATGTTACTGGCATATAACAATTAGGACGATAAACTGGTCAGCCTAAACAATAAACTTGTCATCTTAAACAATAAACTTGTCAGCCGGGACAATAAACTGGCCAGCCGGGACAATAAACTTGTCAGCCGGGACAATAAACTGGCCATCATGGATCTTTGATATTTCAAACTTTGATTATTTGATTTAACAGAATTCACAGGTTTACGACATTGGGCTGTAAAAGATATAAGGATTAGAAAATCAGAGTTTATGACAAAGACTCAATTCCTGCTTTACTGTCCTCTTACGTTAGTTGTTTGTCAATAAAAATACATTGTTTGTCTATAGAAATTCCCCAATAACCAAGATCATTTAAAATTCTCCACTGATCTTTTAAATTATATTTTTATGAAAGACATCCATTTTTCTTTCGGTATAACTGTTGCAGGAGTTTATGATGGCTACTGATATGACCGCCAGCGGTTCACCGGAGGAGAAGCTCCGCTGGGCGTTCAAGATGTACGACAAGGATGGATCAGGTTGAAACTAACTAAATAACAATACAGTTGTAGGATAAATAGCTTAAACTATTATTTCTTCTAAAAGTAGAATTAGATTTGTCATCTCTTGCACAAGATAATTAATCATGGATAATAAATTAATATTAAATCAAACTAACGAACAAGACTTGTTTCGTATTATTAAATAGATTAATAGATCTATTTTAAAACCAATTATGTATACTAAACTATTTTTGTCTAATTTCTGAAATAATCAGGAACAATAGAACTAAAGGAAATGGTTGAGATAATCGGAACACTTTACGAAATGGAAGGAGTCAACCCAGAAACCGCAGGTATCTAAACCCTAAAACCGTAGGTATCTAAACCCTGAAACCGCAAGTATCTAAAACTTGAACCCGCAGGTATCTAAACCCTGAAAGCGCAGGTATCTAAAACTTGAACCCGCAGGTATCTAAACCCTGAAACCGCAGGTATCTAAACCTTGAAACGGCGGGTATCTAAAATCCAGAAATCGTAGGTATCTAAACCTTGAAAACTTCATTTATCTAAACCTTGAAAACCTCAGGTATCTAAACTCTAAAATCGCAGTTATCTAAATCCTGAAACCGCAGTTATCTAAACCTTGAACCTACAGGTATGAAAACCATGAAACCGCAGGGATATAAACCTTGAAACCTCAGGTATCTAAACATTGATCATGCAGGTATCAAAACCCTGAAACCGTATGTATCTTAACCCTGAAACCGCAGTTATCTAAATCTTGAAACTGCGGTTATCTAAACCTTGAACCTACATGTATCTGAACCTTGAAACCCCGGGTATCTAAACTCTTAACCTTATGTATAAAAACCTTTGAAACCTTAGGTTTAAACTCTAAAACCTTATGTATCTAAACCCTGAAACCGCAGATATCTAAACCCTGAAATCTCTGGTATCTAAACCCTAAAGCGGCAGGTATTTTAACTCAGAGACCCCAGGGCCTGGTATCTAATCCTGTAAACCCAAGGTATCTAAACCCTGAAACTGCGGTTATCTAAACCTTGAAACCTCAGGTATCTAAACCTTGAAACCACAGGGATTTAAACCTTGAAACCTCAGGTATCTAAGCTTTGAAACCTCAGGTATCTAAACCTTAAAATCTTAGGTAGCTAAACCTTGAAACCTCAGGTATCTAAACCTTGAAACCTCAGGTATCTAAACCTTGAAACCTCAGGTNAAACCCTGAAAGCGCAGGTATCTAAAACTTGAACCCGCAGGTATCTAAACCCTGAAAGCGCAGGTATCTAAAACTTGAACCCGCAGGTATCTAAACCCTGAAAGCGCAGGTATCTAAAACTTGAACCCGCAGGTATCTAAACCCTGAAAGCGCAGGTATCTAAAACTTGAACCCGCAGGTATCTAAACCTTGAAACCGCAGGTATCTAAACCTTGAAACTGCAGGTATCTCAGAATTATTAATAATTGGTTGACAGAAAGTTTGTCTTTTAATAGAAAGAAAATTGAATTGAAGGAGAAAAGGTTAAACACCTGACAGAGTGGATATAGGATATATCTAGGAGAGAGGGCAAACAGGATATTCAACCAGCTGGATATAAATGGTGACGGGGAACTGGATGCAGACGAATTTTGCAAGGTTTGACACGTTTACATTTATCGTCGATTATTCTTGAGATGGGATTTTTTGTATCTTTAATCCTTTGATAAATAAAAAATAATTCCATTTGGATATTTTTATAATTACGACCAATCAAAAGACACAACAAATCTACGCTTGGTAAATGAGAGATCGCGAAAAGTACAAGTCAGTACAAGTCAGTACAAGTCAGTACAAGTCAGTACAAGTCAGTACAAGTCAGTACAAGTCAGCATTAAATCGCTCGCTTCAAACTAAAAGTTTCCACTATGATTATGGAAGTTTATTTCAGCCTTTGCAACGCTTTCTAATAAAAATATTCCGACCATTCTATTATCATGAGAAGTAATAACTTTTCTACTTTACTAAAAGTTTTTGGAACTTTATTCGAGAAAAGGTTTCAAAGACCACCGCTTTCATTCTAAGTAACACAAGAACTTTTTTCAATATCAAAATTTCTGAAGTTTTATTTGAAATGCTAAATTGAATTTTATTTCAGTACAGTAAGTTTTCATTTCCTGAAAATTTCAAAATTTATTATTTGTTTAAGGGTTGCATGGATGATGATGAACTTGTGAGATTATTAAATTCAGGAGGAACGGAGTCAAAATATGTATATTTCCACTCTTTGCAACAAACTCTGATTTAGAACTGTACCCTTTAACCTTTGAGTAATCAGGGACGAATAAGATTTTCTAGTTTTGCTGCCTGAAAATGGATTGTTTTTAATCGTCGTGGTTTCTCTGAAAAGGCCACTTGAGATTTATGCAAGAGAAATAAACAGAATTCAACACTCTAACGTCACTTGAAATCACATGTACACTGTACAGTCCCTTTAAAAATGTGGCTTTTGACTCTTATTTTGAAGGTGTTGGACCAGATGAGAACGACGAGGAAACTGATTAACATTGATTTTTGCATTTTCATCATTAAATAAAAATATCAAATTAAACAAATTTCTTTCAAGTATCCTTTCAAATTACCATGTTCAGTGCTCATGATACACGATGTCCTTGAAAAAAAGTTCAGAAGTAGAAATCTTTTAAAAATAAATACACTTATTTGAGGGGTGAAGAAAGTTGTCTTTGCCATTTTTACAAAGGATCTTATTTCTTCTTTTTAAATTTACCGAAGTATAAACCGCATCAAAACTTCAACATGGTGTGAATCATGTTTTCTGAACATTGCAAGGTTTCGGTCTAAATATTTGTGATTGTATTCTGTTACAAGACTGATAAATCATGAGTTTTCTCTGCTCCGTGTTATCTTAAACCTTCATGTGAACATTTAATCTTTATTATAAAATGTAGTTAGAATCTTAAACCTAAATAAATAGAATCCTCCATGTTTAATATATTTTATTAAAAAGTAGAATAATAGTAGTTAGAAACTTTAAACAATCTCCGTTGTGTTTATCTACCTACACACATTTAAACTGCTTCAAATCCCTATATCTTTGCAACATGATAGAGTAAAACTTTTCAAACTTTGACTTTGACTTTGAATTTTAGGCATTATTTACAGTTTTAAATATCTAAGGTCTACGATATCAGGTTGCAAAGATTATAAGGTTTCAAAATACAAAGTAATTGAATAGTTTAATTTTCTATTCTCTAAATAAGAGATTAGAAAATTAGACCTAGTGGTGAGGGTTTAGTTCTTGGGCTTTTTTATATATTTAAAAGTTTTAGTCATAGCAAAGCAGTTAAGCTAGGTAGCTGAACTCAATAAACTTTTTTTTAGGCTCTCTGTATCACATACAATGTTTTGAAACACATTCGAAAACTAGAAAAATGCACGGTTTAATAATTCAAAGATTTAAAACTACACTTTTAAAACTGGTCAGTAGCATTAGTTTCTTCAATTTTGTCAACTCAGATCAAACTAAAAATAATTAGAAAATTAAAAAAAAAAAATTTTAATTGACTTAAAACATATTAGTTTTAGCTTTCAAACGTTATAGCTTACAAAAAACCCGATATCAACACAAAAAGATTAAATAAAATCCTGAAAATTATATTTAGTGTTAGTGTTACTTTAGTTTTAGTGATCAAGCTGTCTAAAGGAATATTTATTACAACAAACACATTTACTTCATTTTCTTTAAGAATCCAGTAGGTTGTATCTTCAGGAGGTGTTTGGCATATAATTCAATATAAATAAGATTAATCCATATCTAAATCCAATCGGTCATTAGTTAAATACTCTGAGAAGATTTTTTCACGTTATATAAAACCACTCGTTAAACTACTAGATATATTTTTCTCATAATCTAATGACAAAAACTGGTCCTTTTAAACTTATATCCGGTCCTTTAAAACTTATATCCGGTCCTTTTAAACTTATATCCGGTCAAGGATGACGGAATCATCCTTATTTGTTAAAATTTACTTTCCGGAAGTTACAGTTTTTCGGCAACTTAAACACAATTTCAAAGATAAGCACAGTAATAATTCTATATTGTGAATAATCAGTCAAAGGTTTACAGCGCACCACGGGCAGCCGTAGTACATTTGAATTTCCGAGCCGGGTCAACCTTTCCGGTACTGCACCTAGCTCTATGGGCAGGACTAGCCGGTGCAACAAGGTTGACGTGGTCAGACTTCAAATGGGTTGAAACTAAAGGGCAAGATTTGTGTACGGTTGCTAATGCCCTTGACATGAAGGATCACATGAAATTACGCGTACACTCCCTTTAATATCCGAATCCTTGACTTGAATTACGCGTACAGTCCCTTTAATATCCGAATCCTTGACTTGAATTACGCGTACAGTCCTTTAAATATCCGAATTCTTGGCTTGAATTACGCGTACAGTCCCTTTAATATCCGTATCCTTGACTTGAATTACGCGTACAGTCCCTTTAATATCCGAATCCTTGACTTGAATTGCCCCAAATAAAACAAAGCACAGAGACTAATCTTACAATTGAATAAATGAAAGGGAAAGAATAGATTCAAGATATTCTTTAACAAGATTCAAAGTTTCATTTATAGTATATACCAACATTTTGGATTTATTAGTTTTCAAACGTCTTAAAGCATTGAATAGAAAAATATACGTGAAAATATAAAAAAATTTTGTAAATAGTTTTTACATAAAGAATTTTTTTTTTGCATATACCATGTATATATTTTATACAAAACTATAAAGAGAATGTTTATCGTCAATCAATAATTCCGATCTAACTCCATATTTCCGATCCAATTCCATTTTTCAGATCCAATTCCATATTTCCGATCCAATTCCATATTTCCGATCCAATTCCATATTTCCGATCCAATTCCATATTTCCGATCCAACTCAATATTTCCGATCCAACTCCATAATGCCGATCCAACAACATATTTCCGATCCAAGTCCATATTTCCGATCCAACTCTATATTTCCGATCCAATTCCATATTGATAATCCAACTCCATGTTTCTGATCCACCTCCATATTTCCGATCCAACTTCATATTTTCGCTCCAACTCCATAATCTCGATCCAACTCCATATTTCCTGTCCAACTCCATATTTCCGATCCAACTCCATATTTCCGATCCAACTCCATATTTCCGATCCAACTCCATATTTCCTATCCAACTCCATATTTCCGATCCAACTCTATATTTCCGATCCAATTCCATATTTCCAATCCAACTCCATATTTCCGATCCAATTCCATATTTCCGATCCAACTCCATATTTCCGATCCAACTCCAAACCAACTCTATAGTTTCAAACTATCTGAAAAACTTCATAACAAGTCCATCATCCAAACAAACTAGCTCCATTATTCCAAACCAACTAGCTCCATTATTCCAAACCAACTCCATAATTCCAAACCATTTCCATAATTCCATACCAACTCCGTAATTCCAAACCAACTCCATAGTTCCAAACCATTTCCATAATTCCACACCAACTCCGTAATTCCAAACCAACTCCATAGTTCCAAACCAACTCCATAATTCCAAACCAACTCCATAGTTCTAAACCAACTCCATAGTTCCAAATCAACGCCATAGTTCCTCATCAACTCCACATTTCTGAAACAGCCCCAGGCCTAATATAATTACGACTATAAATTCAAGTAAAAACCAAACTCTTTTACACATAGAGGAGAATAGAATTAAAGGTGTGAGATGCAAAGGGTCGAAGTATAAAAGGTTGAGTGGAGAGCAGGGGATTATGTGTACAGCAGGGAATTATAAAGGATTTCCCCCAGGAATCTGATTGAGTTGAATGTTTGTATAGGATCTATTGAATTAGCTGAGATGAAGGAAATTATTGGAACTCTTTATGAAATGGAAGGAGTCTCTAAGGTAAACTTTAATTTACCGTCCTTTGTAATATTTTGTTCTTGACCTACCATTTTACTTTTCTTATTTATCTACCATTTTACTTTTCTTATTTATCTACCATTTTACTTTTCTTATTTATCTACAAACAAAAATGTTTTCACTTTTTTAATCTATCCGGATATATTTGCTTGTCCATACTTGTGCGTAAAATAAAAATTACAGGAGCTACGAGGTTACAAAGTTGTACCAGCTATGTTGAATAAATTTTACCGTCTACTATTGTATTTTCCCTAACTCTTTGAATTTGCTTTAACACTAACTCAAGAAAAAAAAAATTCATTTAAGTTTTGTTTTGTAATGGTCGCACGAATGTAAACTAAAACCAGTAGAAAAAATGAATGAATAAAAAGTGTATCTAAATTCCCAAAACAATGTCTATTATCTGATATATGTTTAGGAAACTTCAATAGAACGAGCAGAGAAAATATTTGGATGTTTAGGTTTTAACAGAAATTAATTGATTAATTTTTTAATTAATCTTTAAGAAACTATGAAAACCATTATAAAAAAGATTATAGGAAAAACTAGACAATAGCTGGATCATATTAAAATAGTTTGTCTGATGGGATAAAATATGCTTTTGAAAAAAAAATTTTTTTTTTACATCCTTGAGATTTATTTAATCAATTAAAATTATCAACAGACATTAATGGAGACGGAGAATTGAATGAGGAGGAATTTATTCGAGGTGATTAAACCAATTCAATAGTGGTAATAAAACCAATCTATTAGAGGTAATTAAACCAATTCAATAGTGGTAATAAAACCAATCTATTAGAGGTAATTAAACCAATTCAATATTAGTAATAAAACCAATCTATCAGAGATAATAAAACCAATTCAATAGTGGTAATAAAACCAATCTATTAGAGGCAATTAAACCAATTCAATAGTGGTAATAAAATCAATCTATTTGAGGTAATTAAACCAATTCAATAGTGGTAATAAAAACAATCTATTAGAGGTAATTAAACCAATTCATTAGTGGTAATAAAACCAATCTATTAGAGGTAATTAAACCAATTCATTAGTGGTAATAAAACCAATCTATTAGAGGTAATTAAACCAATATATTAGTGGTAATAAAACCAATCTATTAGAGGTAATTAAACCAATATATTAGAGATAATCAAACCAATCTATCAATAATTATTAAACCAATCTATTAGAGGTCATTAAATCAATCTTTTAGAGGTAAATACAACAATCTATTAAAGGTAATTAAACCAATTAAAGAGGTAATTGAACCGATTCATTAGAGGTAATTAAAACCTTCTATTAGAGGTAATTAAACCAGTCCATTAGAGGTAATTAAACCAGTCAATTAGAGGTAACTAAACCAATATATTAAAGGAAATGAAACCCTTCTATTAGAGGTAATTAAATCAATCTAATTGAGGTAATTAATCTAATTATTTTATGTATTTTCCAGGTTGTTTAGAAGATGATGACTTAATTACTCTTTTAAATGCAGGAGGTATGAGTATGAAAATAAAAATGATGATAATGATGATAATGATAAAAAGGATGAAAAGGTTGAAAATGATGATAATGATGATAATGGATGATAAAACTGATAATGATGAAAATAATGATAATGGTGGTAATGATGATAATGATGATAATCATGATAATCATGATAATCATGATAATGATGATAATGATGATAATGATGTTAATGATGATAATCATGATAATGATGATAATGATGATGTGATGATAATGATGATAATGATGATAATGATGAAAATTTTTTCAGGTGTAGAACCCAATGGCAATGAGGAGGACTAGTGATTATTTTTGTATTTTTTTGTATGTTTGTTTGTAATTCTGTTGATTTAATAAATATTTTGTTTGTGATGTATTTACAGACTTGTTGATATAGTGTACTGTATGTACTGTATGTACTGTATGTACTGTATATCAGTTATAAAAAGAAGAGTAGAATGGAATCAAGAGGTTTGATTTTTTTGGCAATAAAAGGTTATCAATACTTCCTGATAGTGTCCAGAAAACGTTTATTAACATACTTTATTATCAAATTAATAAAGGTTTTCGCTTTATTAATTTGAACTAGAGCTAGAGAGCTAGCTCCAAAACTGCAGAAAAAAATAGAAAATCATGAGAAACCCTGGAGAAATTGAAGCGTTTATTTAAATCACGTTAAAAAATATCTTTAATGCAGAACTTTATGATCTTTAATATTTAAGCCTTATTGAATAAGTCGTCGTTATTCGTAATATCTGCTCACGAGATTATTTACGTAAAATTTACCCATATACACGGAGCAGTTAATTGTAAACACGTCATGGTCATTTTGACATTATGGTCCTCAGGATATGCTTAGTTTTCCGTTATTATTTTAAATAGATGAACTATCCATTGGAAAATGTTCAAAAGAAAATTATGATTTGAAGGTGGACCAATTTCTCAACTGAATAACTTGGTATAGAAGAGAAAAATAAAAACTTTTTCAACCAAATGAGATTGCAAACTTTTAAAAATTCTAAATCTTTAAATCTTTCAAAATATTAATTTTACGATTAGTTTTTTTATTAATGTATCCATGTTTAAAACATTATGCCTATTATTCGTATAATTGAATATTTTTTTTGTAATGGTTTATATTTTACCCCCCTCTTATTTTTCACGAGCATTCCATAAGAAGAAGATCAAAATAATAAAGAAAAATGTATTGTATAAAAATATAACAAATTAATAAATTAATGAAGAGTACACATGTATCGAATACTTCTGATCACTTTTAAAAACAACTCTAACCCAAGGTTTATATTTTAGGACTACTCTAACCCAAGGTTTATATTTTAGGACTACTCTTATGCAAATTGACGAATTCTAAATTTTATCATTCGTCGAAGCGGCTCAGTTACATTTCATATAGTTACACTTCATATAATTACACTTGCTATAATTACATTTGATATAATTACTCTTACTATAATTACACTTGCTCTCTTGACTTGTCGTTTTTTGGTAAGTATTTTGGTTTGTTTGAATCCAATGAACGTCAAAAATCTGAGCCGGTCCTAACAGGTGAACCGATTCTATACAGCTGAACCGATTCTATCTGCTCATCCTATTCTTCCACAGGTAATCCAATTCTAACAGCTGAACCAATCCTAACAGCTGAACCAATTCTAACAGCTGAACCAATTCTAATAGCTGAACCAATCCTAACAGCCGAACCAATTCTAACATCTGAACCAATCCTAACAGCTGAACCAATCCTAGCAGCTGAACCAATCATAACAGCTGAACCAATCCTAACAGCTGAACCAATCCTAACAGCTGAACCAATCCTAACAGCTGAACCAATCCTAACAGCTGAACCAATCCTAACAGCTGAACCAATTCTAACAGCTGAACCAATCCTAACAGCTGAACCTATAGCAGCCATTTAAGCAAATATATGTTTGTCAGACCTCGCGTTATTGTCAAGGATGTGTTATTGGCGGCCAGGATTTAAAGAATTTAGTCTTTGTCATAAATGTTGATTTTTTATGTTTTATATGTTTGTAACCCAATGCCATATGATCCTTGACATGTAAAACGATGAATTTTGTTAGATAAAATAATCAAAGTTAAAAATAGTTTACATTAAATTAAACCATCAGGTTGCAAAGATATAGGAATTGGTAAATCTAAATGTGTGAAAAAGACTCAATTCTTTTAGAAAATTTATTAATTATAATAGAAAATTGTGCGAATTGCAATTTTTTAATTGACAAAGAAAAAATGGTCACAAGTCACGAAAAAATTTGTCTAAAATTTAGCCAGATTTTTATCCGCACTTAGACGATTTTTACTAGGAAACTATATTTTCGTTACAAAAGTAGACTTGCTCAACTTTGAATCTCAAAACCGAGCTAAGAACATTCCCGTCCGAGTTCCCCAATCAAAATTTGAGGCAAATCGTTCAAGGGGTTCCTGAGTTATGGTCGGACAAAAAAACAGGCAAACAGAGATTACAACTTTATATATATAGATAAATATATAAGATTCTCATATTTTCTGAATAACTCTGTAACTGGAAAAGATTCCCCAAGGTTTTCAAGGTTTTGACTTTAACTATTTTTCCGTGACTAATCACATTTCTTCCATTTAGAACATTTTAAAGAGAATGTTCCCTAAATTAAAGAGAATGTTCCCTAAATGAAAGAGAATGTTCCCTAACTTAAAGAGAATGTTCCCTAACTTAAAGAGAATGTCCCCTAAATTAAAGAGAATGTTCCATAACTTAAAGATAATGTTCCCTAAATTAAAGAGAATGTTCCCTAAATTAAAGAGAATGTTCCCTAAATTTCCACGAAAAGATTTGTGAAATATTCATCAAACGTAGCGTTCTACATTAATATATAAAAAATCTCGAAATTTGTACGTACACGCCCTTTAATAATGCTATTTCCTGTACACTCCGCTTCCTTCAATAATGAAATTTTCTGTACACTCCCTTTAATAATGAAATTTCCCGGACACTCCCTTTAATAATGAGATTTCTTATACACTCCCTTTAATAATGAAATTTTCTGTACACTCTCTTTAATAATGAAATTTCCTGTACATTCCTTTTAATAGTGAAATTTCCTGTACACTCCCTTTAATAATGAAATTTCCTGTACATTCCTTTTAATAATGAAATTTCCTGTACACTCCTTTTAATAATGAAATTTCCTGTACACTCCCTTTAATAATGAAATTTCCTGTACATTCCTTTTAATAATGAATTTTCCTGTACACTCCCTTTAATAATGAAATTTGCAAGTGGAATCTTTTAAAAAGCTCGCCGACACTGACAGACAATTAATCCTTGTAGTTTAATTAATCTAGTTTCAAGAATAATATTCTTTATATTATTAATTCCAAGAATAAAAACAACTTTTTTAATTAATCACAAGAAAAGAATTAAAAATAAAAAACTTATGCGGAACTTTATTAAAAAAATATATGCTGCAATCTACGAGTGGTGGTGGGGGGGGGAGTTGTAAAGAATCTATATTTTTTTCGAAAATTTCATGCAAAAATTTAAACAGTATGGAAAAATGTCCAGATTATTAAATTCCTTTTACCAGAAGTTGTTTCAGAACATCCTTTACATCTACAGGTTGTAAATGGGTTCAGATTAAAATTTCAAACATTTTTTAAAATCATTGTATTGGTGGTGGTGAGATTTAGACACATGAAGGGGAAAAACATTTGATTTCATATTTAAGCTCTGTGATTTGATTGAATCAAGTTTTAACTTTCATATTTAAATCTGGTGGTATAGTGTAATTTGAAAATATCAACTTTAAAAATAAAATTTTAATTTTCATATTTAAATCTTGTTGAAGTGTGATTTGAAAGCTAAAACTTAATTTTCAATTTAAATCTAGTGATATGGTGTGATTTGAAAACACCAAGTTTAAAAATAAAAACTTTCAATTTAAATCTGGTGGTATGGTGTCATTTGAAAACACCAAGTTTAAAAATAAAAACTTTCAATTTAAATCTAGTGATATGGTGTGATTTGAAAACACCAAGTTTAAAAATAAAAACTTAATTTTCAATTTAAATCTGGTGGTATAGTGTAATTTGAAAATATCAAGTTTGAAAATAAAATTTTAATTTTCCTATTTAAATCTTATTGTAGTGGGATTTGAAAACATCAAGTTTAAAAATAAAAACTTAATTTTCAATTTAAATCTGGTGATATGGTGTCAGTTGAAATTATCAAGTTAAAAACTAAAATTTTAACTTTCATATTTAAATTTTAAAAATAAAAATTTAAATCTGGTGGTATGGTGTCATTTGAAAAAATAGTAAGTTAAAGACTAGAAGTTCAATTTTATATTTTGAAACGTGGTATTCATGGGATTGCGAAGAGTTGAGTCTGATGTTTTAAAATGTTACATACATTCAAATATTCCACATTCACAATACCAAGTTAAACTAAAGTAAAGGAATTGAGTTTTTGCCACAAACTCACATTTTCTAATCCTGGCATCTTTGCAACCTGATGAACCTGTTATATTTCTAATTTTTATCATTTAATGTTCTAAAATTAATATTTTAAAATATCTAAGGTCCGGAACATTAGGTTGCACAGATATAAGGATTAGAAAATCAGAGATTGTGGCGAAAACTCATCTTATATTATTATATGTCAATATAACTTCTTTTATTAAATCCTAAAAGTCGATTATGCAGAGATCCAACACAGTCGAAGCTTGCTTCCTAATCAACTCATGAAATTCTACCATTTCAGTTTTGTTTTCTAATGGCCGGATGAATGTTATCTAAAATCCTAAGAAAAACTAAAAACCGGTTAAGATAATTTGACCAAAATGTTGAATCTGTTCATCATGACTTGAGAAGGAATTGAGTCTTCGCCACAAATTCTGATTTTATACCATCCCTATATCTTTACCAGCCAATGTAATAGACCTTATATATTCCAAACTATAAAGTTTGAAATATCCATGGTTCACACCATCAGGTTGCAAAGATATGGTGAGAAATATTGGAGTTTGTGGCACAAACTCAGTTTCTTTGTGGAAGTTTTAAAAGCCCTATCACTAAAGAAAACTTTGAATACGCACAAAGCTATATAACCTACAATTCAAGCCAATTTTGGCTTTAACATTCAATTTTCTTGTATTTAGAGTTAAGTTATGATAAGGGAAAAACATGATAGAATTTACTCTAATTCAGTTTCATACAATTTATTAGTATCCTAACCAAATTATATCATATCAACAATTATTTTTTTTTCCCCGCACATTTGACCTTTCATATGAAAACATAAAAACATTGTTATATGAGTCTGCTAGTTGAAATGTAATCTTGAAGATATACAGTTCACTAATCAATTAAGGTTTGTTAGAAAATGTAGTTTTTACCTCTATAAAAGCATTTTTATATTAGTCTGCGAGTTGAAATGTAATCTTGAAGATATACAGTTCACTAATCAATTAAGGTTTGTTAGAAAATGTAGTTTTTATCTCTATAAAAACATTTTTATATTAGTCTGCGAGTTGAAATGTAATCTTGAAGATATACAGTTCACTAATCAATTAAGGTTTGTTAGAAAATATAGTTTTTATCTCTATAAAAAACATTTTTATTTTAGTCTGCGAGTTGAAATGTAATCTTGAAGATATACAGTTAATCAATTAAGGTTTGTTAGAAAATATAGTAGTTTTTACCTCTATTAAAAACAAACCTTTATGAACTTAAAAAGTTAAAAAAAAATATTCAATTAGTGCTCTTTACTCGACATGTCATATATTTACTTCTCAACGTAAATTAACCAATTATTGGTAAAACCAGAGACCGAATTTAAAGAATTTGAGCGGCGGCTTAAATTTAAGCCGCCGCTCAAATATGACCTTTGTGACCTCGTAGCTCCTATAGTTTTGATTGTACGCACATAAATATAAATAATTTATCTGGTCACATATTATAAATTTAAAATATTCTTCTCAATAGCTATTTCAATCTATAATTAATTAGAAATTTCAATCTAACGTCCAATTTATTTAAATTTGACGTAATACAATGATTTTTTTTGTACAATTTTATCCAAAAACCTGATAGTGGAGTAGTGTGGTCCAAAGTATAAAAAAGGGGAAGTTATCATTTCAAAAACTGGGTTTCTAAAATAAACATTTGACAGAGCCTAATGGACATTTTGTGGATATATTTCGTCAATTACTAACGGTAATTTCCTTTTCTTTATTCATTATTTTAAATAAATTATAAACCTTTCGATATATTGTGATAAAATAAAATAAATTTGATTAATCACACGCAGATAGATACATTTCTATGCATTAGATGTAATTCATTTTAGATAAAGAGCCCCTAAAGTGAATCTTCTTCATATGTAGGAAGATAGATAGATAGATAGTTAGATAGATAGATAGATATTATAGATAGATAGATAGATATACAGACGGAGATATGTTGGAGAAGGGTATATATAATGGAACCAACTTCCTATATTCCCGACATTCCATTCCACACGTCGGAGAGACACGGTGTACAAGAGAGAGAGAGAGAGAAGCGCGGAAAGCATTTTGTAAAAAAACAATCTAAAAATAAATAAGACAGAGAGATCTAGACTGAACCAAATTTTAAGACAGGGTCGACTTTGAGGTGTTTTATCTCACTAAACCACTTATACTTATATTTACTCACTGATAATCTCAAAACCATTGGCTATTTTTGCAAAGAAAAGTTGGAACCTTGAAAGAAAAAAATAAGAAAGTATCGACAAGTTAGGTTAAAAGTAAGTGAAAAAGGGATAATATTGGGAAACAAGTCAAGTAACAGAAGAAAATTAAACAAAATTTTTAAAAAAATATAAGAAATGATTATATGAATACAGATATTTAAAGGTTTATGAAAGGAAAATTAGATATTTTGAGAAAGACCGGTTGGGCAAAGAAATAGATTTTTTGCAATAAACTCAATTTTCTGAACCCTATATTTTTGCAAGTTGGTGATCATATTCCAGATTTAGAATATTTATTCTTACATAGTTAATAGTTTGAAAGATCAAAGGTATACAACATTCATTAGACATTTGAAAATCAGAGTTTGTGGCAACTAGAGAGCAAAAAAGAACGAAGAAAGAAAGAAGTATAGTTTTTTTTTAACTAAATAGATAGATAGATAGATGTAAGTATAAATAAATGGATAGAATAGAGATAAAAGAATATATGTGCATAGATAGATAGATGTAGGTAAAAATAAATGGATAGAATAGAGATAAAAGAATATATGTGCATAGATAGATAGATGTAGGTAAAAATAAATGGATAGAATAGAGATAAAAGAATATATGTGTAGATAGATAGATGTAGGTAAAAATAAATGGATAGAATAGAGATAAAATAATATATGTGCATAGATAGATAGATGTAGGTAAAAATAAATGGATAGAATAGAGATAAAAGAATATATGTGTAGATAGATAGATGTTGGTAAAAATAAATGGATAGAATAGAGATAAAAGAATATATGTGCATAGATAGATAGATGTAGGTAAAAATAAATGGATAGAATAGCGAAAATATGTGCATAGATAGATAGATGTAAGTATAAATTAATGGATAGAATAGAGATAGACGAAAATATGTGCATAGATAGATAGATGTAAGTATAAATTAATGGATAGAATAGAGATAAACGAATATATGTGCATAGATAGATAGGATTCGATGAGTCAAAAAAAGGAACAGTAAATAATTTTCTCTTCATTACAGGGAGACATAATAGAGATGCAATGAATATAGAAGGAAATATTACATTGACAAGACCTTGTTAGGCCTTAAAGCATCACAAGCGTAGCGAGGGATGCTTTACTTAAATCTAGCTCCCTTGATAATTTAAAAACTATAAAAGGCAATAAAATAACAAAGATAAATGTTTAAAATTAGATTTCGTTTGTTTTTTGAGCGATATCATAATAACAACTCCCCCCCTCCCTCCCTCCCTCTGTCTCCATAAAAAGTAACACCTCTAGCCATATTAGATGATTAATTTCCAAAAGGCGTAAACAAAGTTTAGCCAGTTCCCTTGAGCTTGACCTGGGACCTGATTAAATGATTTGCTAGAGATGTCGTTGAACTACGTACCGTGGTTCAAATTCTTAATCACCGATTCAAAATTAAAGTGAATCGGTGATTCAGGATTTGAACTGGCGGTAGGAAATTCAACGACCTTTCCAATTCATTAAATTCTGTCCCCGGCGCACGTTAAAATTAGTCTATGATGTTCAACTACTTTTGCTATTCAGTCCTAGTTCTTACCCTGCATTTTAGGTTTTATTAGAATATGGACGTTTTTTCTATTGCTGAAAAGAAGTTTTGTTTTAGAGATGAAAAATGAAAAAGTTGGACTGTATACGATCCTAGTTTTATCCTGCTATATCCTAACTACTGAGGGGTATCCTCAAGACCTGGTAAATATGGAAGAAATATAGAATAATATCCTATCTTATAAATCTGTGAAGTATGTCACACTTTTATGCATAGCTGCAATGTCCTCAATTTTAGCGCATCCTCATTAGTTCGTCCTATAAAAGTACAAATGCGTAAGTGCGTCCTCGTCTGCTTTATTGAATATGGATAAGCATTGCCGAATAATTTTCTAATTCATTTTCTTATTTAAAACTTGTTAGACATTTTATTGCTCAAATATTGGCATTACAGTAAAGGTATCGGCTGGATTTTAAAATATTGGTGAAAAAACAGCCTAAAGATTTATAAGGAATTGAGTTCTTGTCAGAAACTCAAATTTTCTTACCTCTATATTTTTGCAACTTGATGATGTAAACCTTTTTTTACGTAGACTATTTGATCTCTGATAATTTATAGTTTGAAATATCAAAGATCTTCATCATCGGGTTGCAAAGATATAGGGATTAAATGATGCAGCAAGAACTTAGTTTCTTAGAAAATATAATTGGTGATATTTTAAAGAGATGGTAAAACAAACTGAAAATTATGTTAAAATTGTTTATTTCTACAAAAATAATAAAAAATTTCAGCCCAATTGGTCCAGCCATTTGACCGGCTATACGAACATATATATAATACGAATGTCTTGTTTTATTATACAGAAGATTAATAAGTAACCCCGAATCATTCGTAAAATAATTTTAAAAATAGTTTTTCTTCTTAAATTATGAAAATATTTAGCATTGCTTATCAAAGTAAATATTTTTTAATGCTTTAAGATGAATCCCTGAAATGGTGATATAATCGCCATATTTCTGCAATTTCACAAAATAAATTACGGACAATGAGCAGTATGTTGCATCTTAATTCCAAGCTTTTTAGATTAAAATTCCTTCTGGAATTAAGAATAATTTCTCAAGACAAATGTTATCACAACAAATTAAAAACTGTTTTCTAAATGTTTATCAAGCAACTATTCTATCTTAAACTATCCTATTTTAATCACAAATAACTTTAATATTTGATAAGTATAGGGTTCTAGAGCTTAATTAACTAGTAAAAATCTACATTAATATATTAATACTAGGGCACTCGCGCCCATCTTCTTTTTTAGTTGTAAACATTTTCTCTTTGTAAACATTGTAAAACACAAAAAAATTCGCGGATTTTTTAAAAAAGGAATTGAATCTTTGCCACAAACTCAAATATTTAATTTATACCCCCATACTTTTAGAACCTGCTATTGTAAACATTTGATATTTCAAACTCAGATTATTTGATTTAACAGTATCCATAGTTTGAAATATCTAAGGTCTGCAACATTTGGTTCCGAAGATGTAGTGATTTAAAAACCTTCCCTGGGGTCACACGAGGTCCCAACAAAATTTTGAGCCCAATCGGTTCAGCCGTTTTGACGTTTTTTTGGATTTAAACAGACCAACAATCAGACAGACAAACAAAGTATACTTACAGATATTTAAATTCTTTCCTAAAAACTTTTCGTTTTTGAAAATAATGTATTTCCAGAACTTTCTTCATGAAATAAAAACAAATTAAGTTTTTTTAAAGGAATTTATTTTTAGTACAAGCATATATTTAATTTCGACCTTAATAACTGTTTTCATAGAACATTATTCTGAAGTTATTTGCATTTTTAACTCTCATTTTAAACTTAATTTCGAGCCAGGTTGTAAGTGTAATTTAAAGTCAATATTTCAAAGGCCAGCTAAGTTAGATAAAAAAATTGAAAAATTCAAAAATAGCTAATTTTTAAAGATAATAAATAGATTTATGGCTTTTGAAAATGAGTTTTTAATTAACAAAAGCAGAAAGATGCGAAGGTTTATAACATGAAACAATTAAAATAAAAAATATAAAAATGCCTAATTAGAAACGATTTTTTTAGGATGATGAGTTTCCTGAAAAACCGAAAAGGAAAATAATTCAAGATTAGAAATAGAATTTTTTAAAATTAATATTTTACTTTTTGAAGTTTTTTTAATTTGTTCAGAGGGCAAAAACTTTTGTATCTTCAGGGCTTCAGGGCTCAGACGGTCTACAACCTCGACAAAGGTTAACCTAAGACGCTGAATACCTTTTTCGATCCATTTTTAATCTTCTTTTCTAGTAAATCCACGATATAACACTTGTTTCCCTAATTGAAAAGTTTAATTAGGGAAATATGTAGAGTAAGTCGCTGAAGCTAAGCAATATCCTGCAGAAAGTTTAAACTGTGGATATCGAGTTAACTCGCTGAAGCTAAGCACTATCCTTAACAAAAGTATAAACTGTGGATATCGAGTTAACTCGCTGAAGCTAAGCACTATCCTTAACAAAAGTTTAAACTGTGGATATCGAGATAAGTCTCTGAAGCTAAGCTCTATCCTAAAACAAAAGTTTAATCTGCGGATATCGAGATAAGTCTATGAAGCTAAGCTCTATCATAAATGAAAGTTTAATATTGGGATATCAAGTTAAGGGACTTGAGATAACTCTATCCTAAAACAAAAGTTTAAACTGCGGATATCGAGTTAATTCGCTGAAGCTAAGCGATATCCTACAGTAAAGTTTAAACTGTGGATATCGAAATAAGTCGCTGAAGCTAAGCGCTATCCTACACATAAGTTTAATTTGCGGATATCGAGTTAAGTCGCTGAAGCTCAGCTCTATCCTGAACAAAAGTTTAATCTGCAGAGATATCGAGTTAAGTCTTTGAAGTTAAGTTTTATCCTGAATGAAAGTTTAACCCTCAGGGCTTTTGTTTTGTTTAACAATTTTTTTTCCTAATTAAAAATATTTGAAATCAGATCAGAGGGTGTGGAGAATATATTTCAAAATGAAGGCAGATACATGAAACGACCACAAAGGTAGGAAAGATCATATTCTTTTTTGGAAAGGAATTGAGTTTTTGTCACATACTCTGATTTTCTGAAGCCTATATATTTGCATTTCAATGTCGGAAACCTTAGATATTCCAAACTATGAAATTTTTTAGATCAAATAATGATAGTTTGAAATATCAAAGGTTAACACCATCAGGTTTCAAAGATATAGCGATTTGAAAATCAGAATTTGCGGCTAAAACTCAGTTCCTCTAACTTAAAAAAAATTATTTTATAGATTTTCTTTTGGACTTGGAAAAAGACTTCAGGCCCCGTCAGGTTTTCATTTTTTTATTTCTATTTAAATTGATTTGAGAACGTTTTTCTTTTAATTTACATTTTTCTCTTTCTAGATAATTTTGATTATTATGAGGACACTGATGTACAAAAATCAAAAAGGTAAAAAAAATATTTATCTGGGTTTCTTGATGAAATTTAGTGAAAGATTTTTACTGGCAACATTTAAAAGATTCTGTTGTCTATCCAATTAGTATTTTTTGGCCTATGAAAATAATGCATGATTATTATAGGTTTGTATATGATCTGCAAGAAATTTAAATACATCATTTTAAAACTCTTTAACTACCACTGACGATGAAAAGTAATGAACAAACTGAGAAAATAAATAAACACCTTAAAACAAATTGATTGGCTCAGGGTTTGCAGCATTTTAATTTCAGCTTCAATATGAAATTTCACAAAGATCTTTTTGATTTCCGGCCATACACACTTTCCTTCAGATAAATTCCTATATTTTGGGTTTTCCAGAAATTTGAAAATTTCCAGAAATTTAAACAAAATTAAAATTAAATTTTTGATTTGGTTTCAGGGAACCATACGGATTCGGATTAGGGAAACGGGAACCCTATGCATTTGGATTAGGTAAACATTGAAATTCATTCAAACATTATAAATGTGCTTTCCAGGGGTAAACACTTTTGTAATTCAAATTTTTTAGAAATGGCTTAATTGCAACCCCCCTCTCCTCAAGCGTTTTATATTTACATTAAAGTTTACACTGTGAATAGCGAGTTTAGTCGATTTGGCTAAGCGCTATTCAATCCAAATGTTTTAGCCTTAGCCATCAGAAAAGCTGGCTCAGGAAGATGGTAAAATGTAATTTGTCGAACATCCAAAATGACCTTGCTTAGACTTTTGTTCAATTGATCGCTTTCTTAGCTCTTGCGTTGTTTTAGCTCAAAAAATCCTAATCTTTATAAAACATATTGTCTTTATTCCGAAAATAGTTCTTTTTAACTTGAAATAATTTTAAAATCTATTCTAGGGAAACGAAGTAACTTTGGGGAGTCGAAACGGGATCCTTACGCTTTTGGATTAGGTTTGTCTTTTTTAATTTATAAAGTGTTGCTCCAAACAATCACTTTCTATATTTTTTGTTCCTGTTAAAAATTCTCTCTCTACGGCAATGAAAATTTAAGCTTTCTGAAATTCATAACATCTTGTTAACGTTGTTTATAACATCTTGTTAACGGTTTTCACAACATCTTGTTAACGGGTTTCATAACATTTTATTAACGGTTTTCATAACATCTTGTTAACGATCTTGGCCTTTTTATAGGAAAACGTGGTAATTTTGGAGAAAACAAGCGAGACCCGTATGCATTTGGATTGGGTAACATATTCATTCATACTAATCTGGTTTGAAAAAAGGAATTGAGTTTTTGCCACAAACTCCAATTTTCAAATCCCTTTTTTTAGAATCTGAAGTTTTAAACCTTTGATATTTCAAACTTAGTTCATTTGATCTAACAGAGTTCATAGTTTGAAATATCAAAAGTCTACGATTTGGGGTTTCAAAAATATAGTGATTAAAAAATTTGATTTTCTGGCAAAAACTCAATTCCTTTAAGAGGTAAGGGGAGTGGAATATTGAAAAGTTTTTTTTTATGAATTTGAAAGTTTTTTCTTGAATGTTTATAAAAAATACATTTAAAGAAAAATTGAAACAAAATTAAAACAGAAGAAAGCATCCCGAAATAAATTTATAGATTTTCCTACGCATCCTTTAAAAGTTTATGAACACCTTCTAAAACGACACTGTCGACATAGCTACATGACCTGTTCACAAAGGTTTTCTTTAAACTTTTGTTAATTTGCGTAACAATGTGGAAGATATCTAGGACTCTCTATCTTGAAAAGATATAAATATGCCAACTTCCTTTTCATAAATCTGCAAGTTTTAATTTTAATTTTCTCTTCTGAGATTTATTATTTTTTATATATATTGTTCACTCATTTACCAGTGTACACTCTTCCATGTCACAGGGACAAATATGTTCCATTAAAAATTCACAAAATTGTAATATTGTTCAAACTCCAAAAAGTCAGTCAAGAGAATGATAAAACATTTATCACCTTTAGAACTTTTGTACATTTCTTTTCATTTTAAGGGTAAACTAAACATTTAAGAGTAAACTAAACATTTAAGGGTAAACTAAACATTTAAGGGTAAACTAAACATTTAAGTGTAAACTAAACATTTAAAGGTAAACTAAACATTTAAAGGTAAACTGAACATTTAAAGGTAAACTAAACATTTAAAGGTAAACTAAACATTTAAGGGTAAACTAAACAATTAAGGGTAAACTAAACATTTAAGGGTAAACTAAACATTTGAGGCTAAATTAAACAATTAATGCTAAACTAAACATTTAAAAGTAAACTAAAATTTAAGGGTAAACTAAACATTTAAGGGTAAACTAAACATTTAAGGGTAAACTAAACATTTAAAAGTAAACTAAAATTTAAGATTTAAGGGTAAACTAAACATTTAAGGGTAAACTAAACATTTAAGGGTAAACTAAACATTTAAGGGTAAACTAAACAATTAAGGGTAAACTGAACACTTAAGGGTAAACTAAACATTTAAGGGTAAACTGAACACCTTCTTTAGACGATAGTCCTTTTAAAAGCTCAAAAATTTCTGTTAAAGGCAAAATAAATTTCCAATAAAATATCAAATATCAGGAAAACGAGCCAGCTTCGGGGAAGGAAAACGTGATCCATACGCATTCGGACTAGGTTAGCTTTAATCCTTTAATCTAATTTAGGCTTAACAAACAATCTAACTTTACTGTTTTTTAAAAGGCCTGTTTACTGTCAGTTGCTGATAATTATTTTTTTTGTTATAATTATAAATATTAAGCTTAATGGTAGTTTAAATGCTGTTTTTAAAGCAGCCATGTTTTCTTCGCGTCATTGTAAAAATCAAAATTTTGCGAATCATTGATGGATTTCCAGAATAAAAAAATCAATATTTTTAAATTTTGACCAGCCATACAACTTCCATTATTATTATTATCATTATTATTATTATTTTAATTATAATTATTATTGTTAGGTAAACGGACCTACTACGGGTTTGGTTTGGGAAAGCGTGAACCCTATGGATTTGGTCTGGGCAGGAAGTAAAGGCAGGAAGTGAGGCAGGAAGCTAGGAAGAGGTGTCATGAGAAATCAGAGGAAAATTATAATTTTGTTAATTTGCTGATTTAATTCGATATAATTTAATATAAGAACTAGATCTGTGCATTGTCCTGCTGTAATAAAAATTACAAACTTAAGAAGCAAAGAAAATAGAGAAAGAGAGAAAGAGATAAAGAAACAAAGAGTTAAGATTCCCTGGCTATCAATGCCTCCCCGTCTCAAGTTTATAAATATGTTTTAAAATATGATATTTTCTATGTTTTTGGCTTGGGACAAATATATATATTTGATTTGATTTGATTTGATATCATACAAACCAGTGTCATAGACCTTAGACATTTCAAACTATGAATTCTGTTGGATCAAATTATCTTAGTTTGAAATATCAAAAGTCTACAACATCAGGTTCCATAGATATAGGGATTAGAAAATTTGAATTTGTTGCAAAGACTCAATTCCTTTGCAGTTTGGCCGTCTTATAGATTCTCAAGAAACCGTTTCATAAGAAAAAGAAAATTTGGAAATTCAATTATGAAATAAACGCAGGGTTACCCATATAGGATGATACTGTAAAGACGACCCAGTTTTGGCCTACAAGAAACCCTGAATGCAAGAAAACGGGTCTCTGAAATCTCATCCTTTGTGGGTAACCCTGTATATACGCTTGTGTAATGTAAACAATTAAATCGAAAAACCATTGCAAAACACTTTTATCAAAAGTAAACTTTATATTAGTTTATTAATTTAAAAACAAAACATTTTTTAAGAGTTTTTCATAGAAAACTTAAGTTCTAAAATCTTTATACTTCACTTTAAAATGAAAACTTAAAAAATATACTTGGTGGCAAAATTGATTACAATAATGATTACAATGGCACCAATAAGAGAATCATCAAGATTTTTTAAAAATGTGGCTTTCAAGGCGAAAATTGTTAGTATACTGCTTATGAAAGCAAACAGTGTATTGTAATAGTAAAAGATAAAATATATTGTATAACCCGGCGTTGCCATTCAGACATTTTAAAAGTTATAAACACAATATTTGATATTACGCAAGGAATTATAATGCAAGAAAAGTTATTTCAGAGGTGTACGCATCTTTTGTACTGCAGTGTACTGTATCTGGGCGGTAAGCACAAGACGGATGTCGCAGCCTGACATGGGATCCATTTTCACATAAAAAAAATCAATGAAATATTCTGGTCATAGGAAACTAATATGTGAATTATAAAAATTATAAACATTTAATGTTTTTACCCTCTTCGAATACTAAACAAACACTGATGCATCTATTCTTGTTTACAAATTCCGCCCGGAGAGAACTGGTTTCAATATGTACGCAACTGCAATTTAACCTTGATATTACGAAGCATTTTTTCTACAATATTTCAAACTTTTCAGGTTTGATATTTCAAAATTTTGACCATTTTATCTAGCAGATTTCATAGTTTGAAATATACGAGGCCATCAGCTAAATTGGTCCAGCCTTTGCATGATCCTAATCTGTACAAGGTTTTACCGGTCTAATGATATCGTACTGCATACACATTTACTCGTACCAGACCTCCTGGTGAACCCGATGTAAAGTGAACCCAGTGCGTTTTATGCAAACATGCTGGTTGGTTGGAGACATGTTAGGAATTTAATTGTAAAGATATACCTGGATTAGACTCTTACAGACACACCATAGTGTCAATACTTCTGATGATTCTGTTTACTGTTTAACGTTAAATGCACCTTTATTCTCGGATTGGATAATTGAATTTGAAAGAAAGTGAGTATACTGAGTGCTCTGTGTATACTGTACAATCTCAGAACATACGCCAGACGCCTTATAGACATCTTATTGAATTGGAAACTACCGGTAAGTTAAAATTAAGGTGCTTAGAGTATGAGGCAAGTAAACAATGCCTTTTTCCAAGTTAAAATGGAAGGGAATTGGAGAAACGGAGAAATGGATTTTAAGCTTAAAAACTTCATTTTTATTGAACCTATTTCATTGAAATTTAGACAGCTATTCATCAAAGTTTTAGACTGCCTTGACAATAAAGTCAGCCTTTGGGTTGGACTCACCTTCTCACTAAAACATTTTTGTAGTCCCAGACAAATACTTTTTAAAAATGCAACACAAATGTTTCTGGGTTAAATCTAAATGAAGAAATACTGCTTGATTTTTGCAGTGATTTACAGAACAAAATCTCAATATTCTTTAATTGTAATATTTTCTATGTTGTTCATTGTGAATCAAATTATTTTTTTATGATTTTACATCGAAACCATGTACGTAAAGAAATGGAAATGGAAGTTGAACGGTTCCGATAAGAGAACGGAAAGAAGAATAAGAATGATAAAATGGCCCCTGTAGCACAATACTTGCATATCAATCATCTGCTTTCACAATAATCTGAAACTATAGATTGTTTTTATTTTATTTGGTTTCGATACATTCATGAAAAGTTCTTTAAGTTTTATCTCTATGTGTTGCTAAGACAGTTGACAATAATATGAAACTGCTACGAAATGTCTTCTAAAAATCCCAGAGTTTTTTTGTGAATCTAATTAAAAAATGATTAGGAGCAAGCAGTTATATTTAAATTACAAAACCTTGTGAACTTAGTTTATTCCTACCTCTTTGCCTGTAGCTGTATTTTTTATTTATATTTTGCAAGTTTAATGCAATTCTAAGAAGGAAAAAGAACGAAATTCACCGTTTTTTAAAAACACTTCATTTCGTTTTTGTTTTCAATGGTTAATTTTTTCTCAAAAACAGCTTATCCCTTTCGTTAACGATTTAAAATACACATTTTTGCCCTTTGTTAACGGAGTCTTTCATTAGTTTTTGAAAACCTCCATTTCATTAACATAGTTCATGCCCAGCCATGGTTAGATGTTTTGAGCACACTGCGTACACCCGGTTTCAGAACGATTCAACTGCTATTTAACAGATCTCTCGATTAACAGCCAAAATCAATATGTCAATATGGCGAGTACTTGTCGAAGAAAGAAAGAAGATTACTGCTGCATATACTGTAAATGTAAGCAATGGTTGGATTTAATTCTGTAAAGTCGTCTAGAAAGGCTCAACCTTTGTGGATAACCCTGTGTATTGCTATTTTGTGACGAATAAGAATTTTAAAATAAATATTAAGCTAACCTAATTCATCACTCTATGATGGAAAACAATACAAATTTGAACTAAAGCCGGAAAACGTAGTTATACAGAGACGAATGTACAAATTTTCTTCTTTCTTCTTTCGTACATTCTTGGTTCCTTGGGGCCAACAAGTCTTTTCAATTTTATGCCAGATAATTCCAGAAACTATTAAAAGGCTAAATTTCAGTATGTCTTTAGATCGTTATATAACATTGTTAACACAAATTCGAAATATAAGGAAGACGATTTTACCGACTCAGAAGCCGTTGACTATTTCAAGAGTTGGGCTGGAAACAGCTCCGACACAGGGAGCCTCTTGACTCCTTCATGATGATAATGCAGATACTCAGCTAACAGCAGGCGTGCTTATACCTCTGATCTCCCTATTAACTTCTTGAGAAGCTTACTTAGGAAACATATACCCGGCTCCGACCGAAGTTTCCGCTATCTTGAGTTGCATTGCCTTAGTTCCATTGATGAGCCCTGTTGTTCCAGTTCCTGTTGATCTGCTCCACCAACATGAAGCTCTACAACACTCCCATGAAGTGCCCACAAGTATCCATCATTAATTCCTTTGTTAATTTCTAAATCAACCTATTTTAACTCTGTCTTATGCAAATATTTCAAAACTTTCGTTTTTTTTAAATAAATGTTAGAAATATACATTTCAGATATCTTTGTTTTATTATAGTGACTTTTAAAGTCAACATTTTGAAATATGGAAATCTGGGCGGGTTATATCTTGGTTGGTTGGATTTTGAAGTTTTAAATTTGTTTTACTCTTTGTTAAATTAAAATCCCATTTTAATTTAACCCCCAGTAGGGGGTAATGTTAAAACAAATTCGAAATATAAGGAAGACGATTTTACCTCTCGATAAAAGAAAATTTCTGTCCAAAAACTTTATAACCAACGCTCATAAGCTGTTTTTTTAATTTTAAATAATTTACGTAACCGAAAACAAAACATAATTTCCAGTTACAACCTTTTTCGGGTTTACAAGCACAGATTAATTAATCTAAAGCGTGAAATTTCTTCAATTAAGGTTTTCAGTTTTTACTTTTATATATAACTTGAAGTTGAATGCCAGTATGAATGATAATTGATTAATAAACAAACAGGGAAAAAGCAGGATTTCAAGATTTTAACCCTGTTAAAATTTTAGCTCGTCGATTTCGGCGAGTTAAATATTTAAACCCAAGGTTAAACTTCAGGTTTAAATTAAGTCAGAAGTGGCAATTAAGCTGAAACTTAAAATTTAAGTCGGAACTATTCACTCAGGAATAACATAGTGATACTTGTTAAAGTGATGATGCAATGTAAAAAATTATTTATTTTCTGAAATGTTTAATGAAATCAAAAAATGTTTACCTTTTAAAAAATAGATAATAACCAAAGGAATTGAGTTTTTGTTACAAACTGGAATTTCATAATCCCATATCTTTGCAACCTGATGGTGTAAACTTTCATTATTTCAAACTTAGATAATTTAATTCTACAAAATTCATAGTTTGAACTATCTAAGGTCTGCGACTTTGGGTTGTAAAGATATTGGGATTAGAAAGTCAGAGATTGTGTCTAAGACTCAATTCCTTTTAGGAATAAAAAAACACAGCTAAGCCCAATATATCGATCCCCTCTGTCAAATAGCCCCGATACCCTCTGTCAATTTAAACATGAAATGATGCCAGTAGTAAACCCGAAGATGGACATTTTGTATGAGTTCCATAGAATAAAATTAATTACTTTCATAAATGAAGCACTTAATCGTTTAGAATGAAAAGTTTCAGATTTAGTTTATGAACAATGTATATGCAGTACACAATCAACTTTCCTGCCTCTCTATCTAACCTTTCTCCAATCTATTGCTTTAGATTTTTGTATTTCGTATGTGAGTAAATTAATTAGTTGTTAATTAAATATAATTAATTAATCTGCATGGGGTTAATAAAATAAGTTAACATGTGGGAGTGAATGTTGGACAGAAATTGGTTGATGAACAGGGAGAGAAGGAGAGGGGATGGAGAAGGAGGGGCGGAGAAGAGAGAGGGAGAGGGGGAGCTAGAGGGGTGGAGAAGAGAGAGGGAGAGAGAGGAGGGAAAAGAGGAGGAGAGAGATTGAGGGGTGGAGAAGAGAACGGGAGACGGGGAAAGAGGAGGGGAAAGAGGAGGTGAGAGAGAGGGGTGAAGAAAATGGAGAGTGATAAGAGAGTCTAGAGATTAAAGGGCAGGGACTGTGTTTACGGTGTATATAAATTGGTAAATAATTTTAACTTACTTATTCATATTGAGGGGTAGGTCGGGAGGGAAAGGGTGAATACTAAACGTTCATAGCGTAATTATATAAAGGGGGAGGGGTCATCAGGGGTGTACACAGAATTCCCAGGGGCTTAACCTTTTTAGAAATTCCAGAGGGGTCAGTCCTTGTCGGAGGTTGAATCCCGGGGGGACGCTTAACCCTCATAGTCATACTCAAGCCAATTTCCTTATATTTGTTGTAGTTTTATCATATGTGTCTTCCTGTGTGTGTGATAGATAGATAGATAGAGAGATAGATAGATGGAAAACACAACATAACAATGATAAGCTACCTGCTATTTCCTCTTCATGCAGGTAAATATTGGGGGAATCAAGGGGGCCGGAGTTTTGTAGAAAAATATTTTAAAAAATATTTCAAATAACATTATAAACAGATAAACATTTTTTTGATTGACCTGAAACATTAGTTTTGAAATCGCTTTAATTTTTATAAAACTTATAATTTGAATCTACAAAACCTCCCCCCCTCATGATTAGGCATAGTGCCTGAAAGGCAAGGCAGGTAATGAAACCGCGACTGTGACGTAATTGAACCAGTTCAAAACTATGGTCTGACAATGCTAGTGTCGTTCCTTTCTGTTTTTGCAATTATTTTTAGTTTTGCAACGTGCCAAAATGATCCAAATACTGCCAATAGTTCGCAAAATTTCGAGGACCAAGGGGCGGCTGTGCGAAGGTATAAATGTGATGTGAAAAGTTGGAATTTATGTTAAAAACTTTAAGGTCAAATTTGAAAAATCTAGTGATCCATAATAACAAAGGGTTATTATACTCATTTTTGAGGGGTGGGGAGAGAGAAGGGAGTAAAGGGGAGGAGGAGTCTTCTGTTTCAGCAAAATTGAGCACAGATTCTAAAAGTAGTATTAATGAATGCTGTCTAATAAAAACACCTGTCAAAATTGCAATTAATGTCTCACTTCAGTGCTTGGGCAGTATCTTCATGTACTTGTCAATTAAACCATGAAGAGATTTAATGATATAACAAATTTAACCAAAAGCCACAAGTGCAGGTTTTGGGAAAAACTAGACTTCATGATGTTGAAACATTTATGTTTCTATCCAATACAAAAACTTGTAAAATGTTTTATGTATGTATTTCAATTTATGTCGTAAAGTGCAATTTCCCAACTTTTGAACAAAATTATTATATTATTGAATCCCTGATATTTATATTGAAAGTATGAATCTGTAAAATATATATATAGCAACCCTATAGATCAAATGTAAAAATCTACCCTAGAGATGCTATGTAACATATAGCAACTCTTTGTAACAAAGCTTCCCTGGATGAAAAGTAACATAGCAACCCTAGGGATGCAATTTAACAAAGCTACCCAATGTATGCAATGTAATAAAGCTACCATATGGATGCAATATAACAAAGCAACCCTGGAGATGCAATGCAATAAAGCTACCCAATATGATGCAATGTAACAAAGCTACCATATGGATGCAATTTAATAAAGCTACCATAGGCATGCAATGTAACAAAGCAACCCTAGAGATGCAATGCAATAAAGCTACCCAATATGATACAATGTAACAAAGCTACCATATGGATGCAATGTAATAAAGCTACCATAGGTATGCAATGTAACAAAGCAATCCTAGAGATGCAATGCAATAAAGCTACCCAATATGATGCAATGTGACACAGCTACCATATGGATGCAATGTAATAAAGCTACCATAGGTATGCAATGTAACAAAGCAACCCTAGAGATGCAATGCAATAAAGCTAACATATAGATGCAATGTAATAAATATTTTAAGACGATATCCAGATCGGACCTATGACCGCCCAGCCATCAGCGCGCAGATAGATCGTAGCGTGCCAATCGACGGAACTTTCCGAGAATATTTGGATACTGTTCCGGAAACCTATGGAGAACTGGTTCCTATTTCCTCCGGAACTCCAGAGTCGGTTCAAAGGTCGGCTCAGCAACCATTTCCGGTGAACCAGCAGGGCGGGTTCAGACAAAACCAGCAACAAAGGTAGAAATCTTAGATCTTAATGGGACTCTCCTGTCAACGTGATTTTATCAGACCCACCAGAAAAGAAAGTTTCATGCCCAATTCACAATAATACTTTACACATTTATTTAGGAAATCAGGAAGATATTGTCGTTTTTCTAAAAAAGTGATAATATTCTCTTAATTACCTTCTTTGTCTCCGCGCTGCATATATTCGCAAACCATTATTAAAGAGAAAGTACATTTTGAAAAAAATCTTTTATCAGACGAAAGGTTAAAGGGCACTTTTGTGAATTGGACATGCTCATCTTTTATTTTAGGATCATTTGAAATCAAATGGGCAGTTCCCTTATCTATAAACCTGTCAATATGAATAAACAATTTTCCTTAATATTTCAACTTTTAAAGGGAGTGTTCGCGAAAAATGAAAGGGGGTTCAGGCTTACGGCAAAAGATAAGCGCTTTTGATCGCTACTAATCTTACTCTATCTGTTGCGTATATAAGGAGAAAATTGTAGTGTCCATACAAACTTAGAAAGTTGCAACATTCAACTCGGATTGTAATCAATTTAATTCCAAACCAAATCTTTCAAATATTACAAACAATAGTCATCGATAATTTTTCGGCGCATTCGTATACAGTTGATATTTCATAATATTTTTTATTTTTATGATAATATTGCATTAAAAAAAAATATTATGAAATATTAACTTTTTACGAATTCGTCGAAAAATAAACGATGACTATTGACTGCAATATCTGAATGATTTGTTTGGAATTAAATTGATTATTTTACGATCGAGTCGAACAAAAGCGCTTATTTTTCGCCGTAAGCCCATACCCTCTTTCATTTTTCGCGAACACTCCCTTTAAATGGATCGAAAATTTTTTTGTTTCTCAAATTCTCATACAAGAAATAAAAATCAACATTATTATTATCATTAACATTAATTTTATATAACACAAAAAATACTCTGTTATCCATTCATTGGTGGCATATTCTTAGTATTGAAATTAAAGCTAGAAGATAAATATTGTGTGGATAGATTGTGAAATCAATTGGAAAAATTAATTATTTAGATTTTATAAAATATTAATTTTCAGATCAGATGGAATTGTTTCAAGTACACAGGATATCAATGTAGACCCTGGTGAACTATTCCGACAGTACGCTGAGGACAGAAACCAGTTTGATAATAACAACAAACAGGAATATTCAGACATATTTTATAAAATTAACAATCAAGATATTAATTAACAAATAAATTTTTGTTAGTTATTATAGAACAAAGTTTTGAATTTATTTCTGTTCAGTTTTTATTAACAGTCCTTTTAAAATCAAAGGTTTGATTAATCTGCAATAGAGTTTAAAATATCCGTTACCAGCTTTTCAGAGGAAGTCTTTTTTATTCAAAGGAACGGAGTTTTTGCCAATAACTCTGATTTTCTTATCATTACATCTTTGCAACCCGATGTCGCAGAGTTTTGATATGTCAAACTATAAAGCCTGTTGGACTAATTAGTATAAATTTGAAATATTAAAGGTTCACCAAACCAGGTTGTGAAGATATATTGATTTCAAAATATATTGTAGCAAAAATTCAATTCCTTTGTTTAAAAATTAAAACCATCAAATCCTGGTTTCTTCTCTACCCCTGTACAATATTGATACGCATATTCTTTTTGATTAAATATATATGAATATGAATTATCAGGGTTCAAATATTGTGATACCCCCCCTGGCGCCCCCTGGTCGGGAGTACAGCAACCTCTCCCTTGTTACTTCTCCACAACCCTTTAATAACAGGTACTTCATGACTTTAATAACAGGTACTTCATGACTTTAATAACAGGTACTTCATGACTTTAATAACAGGTACTACATGACTTTAATAGCAGGTACTTCATGACTTTAATAACAGGTACTTCATGACTTGACTTTAATAACAGGTACTTCATGACTTTAATAACAGGTACTTCATGACTTTAATAACAGGTACTTCATGACTTTAATAACAGGTACTTCATGACTTTAATAACAGGTACTTCATGACTTTAATAGCAGGTACTTCATGACTTTAATATTAATAGCAGGTACTTCATGACTTTAATAACAGGTACTTCATGACTTTAATAACAGGTACTTCATGACTCGTACTGCAGTCCTTCTGCAACCAGAGAGATGAGATTTTAAAAGCTTAACCCCAAGTAAAACCCGGTCTTTGCGTCTGCTTAGACCCAAGTAAAGCTCAAGTCAAGACCCGGGTTTTTGATGGCCTTGAGTTTAGTAAAAACCAACCATCTTGGGGTTTTCTCTCTTTAAGGCTCGAGTCTTCAGCAGCTGGTGATCGTAAATTTCGTAAAATCCTTTATATTTGTACATTTAAAATCTAAGGACTTCTTTGTGGTGTCAAATTTTATTAAATATATAAAATAAACATACTATGAAAATAATGTATCTACATTAAGTTTGAATTATCGAAATTTACATCTCCTTGTCACAGCTGATCTGACGGCATTCTGTCTGCTACAGAGAGAAAGCTTGCTAAACAGTCTCTCATTGGGCGAATCAGAACCAATCCTGACTTGGGTTCTATCTAAGCCCGAGTTTGGGTTTTACTCGGGTTTAAGCTTTTAAAATCTCATCTCAGCTGTATCAAGGGTTCTCTATAAATTGTAAAAACGGGAAATATGAAAAACCGGAGCAATTGAAAAAATACACTGCAACCAGAAAAAAAGTAAAATTGGAAGACAAAATTTAGGCAATATTTAAGTGTATTTTATGGTGTTACAATAGAAGTAGTTTTGCAAGTAATTTATCTAATCACTTCACACAGGTCTACCGCTTTAGTAACTGTAAATTGGCAGTACAGTCCAAACTAGGACCGCAAAGGTTGGCCCAGCTCAGATATTCAAATGTTCACTTGTGGGATCTGACCTATAAACTAAAATGGGTCTGTTTACGCTGCACAAATGCTGTGTCTCATGTTTAATGGACTATTTCAAATCATAACTTCCTATTCCAAAGTTTTATGGTTATAACTGTTGCAGGATTTTTTTCTTAGAAAGATTCAAAATTTCTAGATTTCATTCTTACAAAAAGAACTCCACGGTGCGCCTTATTTCATGTCTTATTTTACGAAAAAAAATATATCTTATATTTCAGGCGTCCTGGACCCTCGACTCGAGATCCTTTTCTTGATCCAAACAGATACAATATACCAGAAACACAGGTAAAATACAATATAAAAGAAAACTGTTGGTTTAATTAAATAAACTAAATTAGGAACTTAAAAAGCTGTGGTTTGCAACTTCTAAAATTACAAAATTTAGACCTGCTTAAGTAATTAATCCTAGGGATTTAAGCACACACAAATATGTAAATTAAAATAATATTAAATTATTTTTGTTTTTATATTTTGTTTATTTTAGGATTCTCAAGGAGTAAGATTTGTTAACGGTCTTCCCTACAGGTAAATCCTTTTCTAGATTTAATAATCTTTTTTTCTTAAAATTGTCACGTTTTTTATTTTTTTTTAAACTATAGTTTAAAAAAACGTTTTTTAAAACTATACGTTTGATTACAAGCTTAAAGTTGTGTTTACAAACTGTAAGGGTTGTTTACAAACTAAGGTTTTTTTCACAAACTAATTTTGTTCACCTTTTAAAAGCTCGGGTTTACAAGCAGGCAAGGTCAGACAATATATAGTTTTCTATTGTAAAACTTATATTCTTTTATAAAAGGATAAACAATAATTAAAATTTTTTATGTTTAGAGAATCTACAAATATAAAGGATAAATATGGAAACCGTTACGATCCAAGGTAAAAATATTCAGATATTCATATTTTGAAACTAATTTGCCAAAAACTTGCAAATTTTTTTGCAAGTTTTTATTGTTTGCTCAGAGGAAATTGTTTTGTTTATAAATTGACATGAAGTTTCTTTAAAAATGTTAAAATCAACAAGTTTAAAAATATAAGCTAATATTAAACTTTTTAATACCATCCAATGGTCTTTTTAAGCGTAACCCCCCCCCCCCCATACTACTGAATGTTAACATTGTTCTGCAGCTTGTGAAAATCTATTTTTTCTTCGTAAAAACAACAAAGAAGAGTTAGAAACATTTCGCCGAAATATTAAATAAGGTTTTTTTTTCTAACAAAGGCCAAACTTTCTTTTTAAAATTGGGACTTTCCTATATTAGACCCTCATATCCCTCTCTGAAAGAAATGTTGACAATAAAATTTTAAGTACATTTTTCAGTCTTAAATTTTTTTTTAAGTTCAGAAAAACATTTATTTTAGAAAATAAGATAATTGGAAATTTAATATTTTTTCTTACAGTAGGTCTCAGGGGTGTAACAATCATCGCATCCTTTTGAAGGATCAAAAGTGCATAACCGTCCAAGATAAACTTTAGAATAAAATGATTTTTTTCTCGAATTTTTTTCTCTTTACATTTCTCAGACAAAGAATTCTTTTTTAATTATCGTAAATCAAATCATTATAACGTTACGTCAAATAATTTTTAATTATTTTCTTTAGAAAATTAATTTTCCAAGTTATCAACATTATCAAAAATGTGTTAATTAAAAAATAAACAAATCAATAAAACCAAAATTGGTAGAAAATCTTTTAATAAATAAAAAGCAAACAGTACAACCTCCACATATTTAAATTGTTTTTACAGTTAAACAACTAAAAAACTTAAATGATAAATATTTGAAAACAAAAAGTCCCAATAATGTTTAAACCACATTTTAAAATTGAAAAATAGGTTGAACTGGAGTGAATCTACCCAGAACTAGCTAAATTGTTGGTTCAAAAATGTGAAAAATGACAAGTTTAAGAAACATAAATCAAGTTGATGAAAATTCTTCTTGTTTACAGTCGTTCTTCACTTTGTTGACATAAAAAAATATTTTAAAATTCTAAATATAGGTTTTTTTTTCGAACAATTTTTTTCAAAATAATTTTTTGATCAAACATTTTTCCTAAGATCGTTTTTATTCAAACTTTTTTCTCTATTTTATTTCTTACAACTTTTTTTAAACAGATAAAACATTTTTATTCTAATGACATTTTTTTTTTTTTAGATATCACGCTATACCGGGAGAATATGATCCTGTAAATGACCCGAGATTTAGGTAAAAATAATTCATTATTTTTATGAATTAAAAACTTTTTTGTAACTTACTGCATTGTTTGTTTACATTTAGTGACCCGAGATTCCAGGATCCGAGAAATCTTCCAAAATATGATAATAATCAACATAATGTTCCTAAGGTAAATATTTACAGTAGGTACCAGAATAAGGTAGAATAACAGACCACTAAGCCCTCTGGGGAAGGGAAAACTATGATTTTCAGGGGAGATTCCGCCTCCCCCCCCCCCGAACAAATTCTTGAATACGCTCCCGAGCGCATATTGATTTATTTTAACACAGAAGTTCTAGAACCGAAGTGTGACGGATTTTAACATGTAAAATTTTTATTCATTTCTGTAAAACTAAAAATTTTGTTTCTCATATTTTAATTTATTGAATAAAGATGAAAACTGTCTACAATATATGTCCTTCTAAGGATGATAAGTTTTATGCGTTTTTCGTCTTGTAATTTTGATAAAAAATGATAAATGAAAAATTTATCAGACACCTCATCTGATCTCAAGAAGACGACCCGTAAGGCTGTAATTTGCCACAAATTATCATGTTTACTGGGGCACACTGTATTTGTAAAAAATATGCTGGATTATATTTTGATAGAATTGCATCTAAAGGGGAACCTAGTGTATTTTACTGTAACATAATAACTGTTGAAACGAGCAGTATTTAAATATAAATCCTCCAATTTAGGATTTTATGTGAAGCAGAACATTTGCTGTTACAGCCGTTAAAAATATATATTCTCCACATCAAATATTTGAATTTAGGATTTGAAAAGAAAACTTTATTTACATGAAATCATAAAAATTTGCGGTAAAATCAAAGGGATTGTTTACGTTATTTTTTCATGAACACTTCCTTTAAAATATGTGAACATTGCATTTACATTTTTTATTTAGATACATTATTCGTTTTAGATAATTTAATTATTAAATTACAGGATCGGTATGATTCTAAATATCGGTATTATGAACGGTTCCCTGAACGATTAAAGGATCGACTCCGAGATCCAAACTACGATCCAAGATGGGATCCAGACGAACCTCTAGCTCCAGGTGTACTAGGAGGCTGGTTGCCGGAGCTCCAGGGGGAGTGCAGGTAATATTAGACTTTTTACTTGTCCTAGCTTTAGTCCCAGTCCATGTCTTTCCTTGTACTTGTCATATCAACATTCTTAGTCCTTGTTCTTGTCCTTGCCCTAGTCTTAGTCCTAATCTTTTTCCTTGGCCTTCATTGGAATTTTCCCTTCCTTATCCCTTTTTACCCTTATTATTGTCCTTAATCTTGTCCTTGGCCCTCTCCTTATCTTTGTCCTTGTCATTGTTTTTGTCCTAGACCTAGTTCCTTGTCCTTGTCTAGATCCTAGTCCCAGTGCCTTGTCATTGTCTAGTTCCTAGTCCTTGTCATGTCCTAGTCCTATTCCTAGTTCCTTGTCCTAGTCTTGTTCCTTGTCCTTTGAACCTGTTTTATTTTAGACCTGGTTGTGAGAACCTAGAAAGAGATGTAACAGTGAACACTAATTATGGTCGTGTAAACGGTTTCTATGTTTATCTCTACGACAGCCCTAGAACTCCTTTATATGAAAGGTAGGTTTATATTACTGGGGAGTTTAAAAAGAATTAGACCGTAAACCTATCGAATTAATTTCATAATGTAGCCTCCCTTTTTCATCCCTGTACAATATACAGATCTTTTTATGAACAAGTATTTTTATAATCATTATGTTTTTCATTTTTGGAAAGGACTATTCACGTCAAACTAAAGTATATTGCGTAAATTGCGTAATATATAAATCTTAAATCAAAAAGTCAAAGGTCAAAAAGTTCTTCAAGTAATGTCGCATACATTTTACCTTCTCATTGGGTCTAGTTTGTAATGAATTCCTGCAGTTTTAAAAATAAATATTTTATGTTGAAACATAATCTGACTCTTGATATACGAAAGGCCTGGATACGCGCACACAGATAAGGTGAAGTTCAAGGTGTCCGTGTTCCTTGGGATACCCTATGCTCAACCTCCTACTGGAGAAGGTCGTCTTATGCCTCCTAGACCACACAGGTAACTTTCAGACAGACAGCGGCCGAAAAAAATATAAAAAACTTTTAAAAATATAAAAACATAAAAAAATATAAAAAACTTTTAAAAATATAAAAACATAAAAAAATATAAAAAACTTTAAAAAATATAAAAACTTCAAAAAATATGAAAACTAAAAAAAATATAAAAACTTAAAAAATATAAAAAACTTCAAAAAACATAAAAACTTTAAAAAATCTAAAAAACTTTAAAAAATAAAAAAACTTTAAAAAATATATAAAACTTTTAAAAATCTAAAAATCTTTAAAAAAAAACCTTTCAAGAAACCAAGATCAGGAGGAATTTGCAGCAAATTCAGTTGAAGTTTCCCAATGAAAGTTATACCAACTCAACCTGGGAATTTTAAACCAAACTAAGAACATTCCTGTGGTTTTACCGAGTTCCCCAATCAAAATTTCAGGCAAATGGGTCAAGTGGTTTATAAGTTATGATCGTACATCCAAAGAAAAAGGCAGACAAAAGGAATTTCCTGGAAATTCCTCCTGACTTTGGTTTCTTGGTTGGGAAAGAAGACTGCGTTCTGACGTCTTTTTGTTTCGTCAATGTACAGTACAGAAGTACTGGAGGATTTTCTATCTTTTTTGGTAGATTTTTTTCTATATCCTAACGAAATGAAAAAACCACCCTGTAGATGAAAAGGGATTAAATTCAAATTGAAAAAACGGAACGGATCTCGCCCTGGGTAGTTCAGGGAGGTATGCAACTTTTTAATCGCAATCTTTGAAAAACCTCTTGAAATTAAGTTGACAGTCCCTGTAAGAAAAATATTTTTTAAAGGATAAAAGCCTTTTTTATACTTTGTGTTTGCACTCTGACTGAATGATAAGAAATGTAGTGATGTTTAGAGGATGGCAGAGTTATGATGCTGTAGACTGGGCCCCTGTGTGCCCCCAACCTATCAAGTATGTGGGGGCGACAAAAAACAGCCCCCTCATGGACGAGGACTGTTTATATCTTAACGTTTTCACCCCGACTCATGAGAGTAAGGTAGGATTCATGATACAAGATACAGGATACAGGATACAGGATACAGGATACAGGATACAGGATACAGGATACAGGATACAGGATACAGGATACAGGATACAGGATACAGGATACAGGATACAGGATACATGATACAGGATACAGGATACAGGATACAGGATACAGGATACAGGATACAGGATACAGGATACAGGATGCAGGATACAGGATACAGGATACAGGATACATGATACAGGATACATGATACAGGATACAGGATACAGGATACAGGATACAGAATACAGGATACAGGATACAGAATACAGGATACAGAATACAGGAAACAGAATACAGGATACAGGATACAGGATACAGGATGCAGGATACAGGATACAGGATACAAGATACAGGATACAGGATACAGGATACAGGATACAGGATACAGGATACAGGATACAGGAAACAGAATACAGGATACAGGATACAGGATACAGGATACAGGATACAGGATACAGGATACAGGATACAGGATACAGGATACAGGATACCGTATACAAGATACAGGATACAGGATACAAGATACAGGATACAGAATACAGGATACAGGATACAGAATACAGGATACAGAATACAGGAAACAGAATACAGGATATAGGATACAGGATACAGGATACGGATACAGGATACAGGATACAGGATACAGGATACAGAACACATGATACACAATATGTACAAGATGCAGGAAACAGGATACAGGATACAGGATACAGGATATAGGGTACAGGATACAGGATACAGGATACAGGATACAGGATACAGGATACAGGATACAGGATACAGGATACAGGATACAGGATACAGGATACAGGATACAGGATACAGGATACAGGACACAGGATACAGGATACAGGATACAGGATAGAGAATACAGGATACAGGATACAGATTACAGGATACAGGATACAGGATACAGGATAGAGAATACAGGATACAGGATACAGAACACATGATACACAATATGTACAAGATGCAGGATACAAGATACAGGATACAGGATACAGGATACAGGATACAGGATACACAAAATGTAAAAGATGCAGGATACAGGAAGCACGATATAAGATAAACGCTACAAAATAAGAATACAAGAGAAGTTTTTTTAACCCAGACCCTACTGTATTTGAAACTAATAAATTCATAGAATCTCCCTTAGTTAGGAATACCAGAGAGCTAATTAAACTACAAACCCGGAGCAAGCTTTAATTCGACCTGGATAATACAGAGACACATAAATGCGGGGGGGGGGTTATTTTTTTCTTTAGATCTTTTAAGTGTTCTTACTGTAATATATCTAGTTGTCCCAACTGTATTATATCTAGGCGTCCCAACTTTAATATCTAGGTGTCCCAACTGTAATATATCTTGGTGTCCCAATTGTAACATTTCTAAGTGTTCCAAATGCAATATTTCTTGGTGTCCCAACTATAATATATCTAATTATCCCAATTGTAATATATCTATTGGTGTCCCCCAACTGTAATATATATAGGTGTCACAACTGTAATATTTCTAGGTGTCCCAACTGTAATATATCTAGGTGTCCCAACTGTTCCCTGTGATGATCTATATACACGGAGGAGAGTTCCAACACGGATCCGCTAATGAGTTTCCAGGACACCAGTTAGCCGCTAATGGACAGGTAATAAAGTATTTATGTATAGCGGATCCGCTAACGATTTTTAAAAACTAAAATTAGCCGCTAGAAGACAAAAAATGTCAAAAATATGTATGTCACTGTTTAGGGCTAAAAGTATATCTCAGTAAATAAAAATCCAAGGGTAAACCATGCGACACTTCAAAGTCGACTCTAAGTCTCGAAAATTAATGAAACTTTTCATAAGAGCCTGAATCTATGTGTAATATTCATTACAGACACATCGCAAATTGTGTTTATTTAATTTATATAATGATGATTTATTATTATATCATTTTAAGGTTGTAGTTGTAGCCATGAACTATAGACTTGGAGCTCTAGGCTTCCTCTCAACAGGTAATCTTATGGGGCTAATGGGAACACCCCCCCCCCCCCTAGATTATGAAATTATTATAGTTGTAAAGTCACTTTTTTCCAAAGGTTGCCATCACTCAAAAATCTATTAGAATTTTCCCAATTATTTAACCCAGTCTTGAAAATTGATGCCCTTTTATAGCAGTCTGGATTTTTACTGTTGATGTTGTAACTTAATAAAGCAATGTCATAGAAGAAATGGTTCCGTGGTTTAAGCAATCCCTGTACGTTAATGAAAACATATATTTGGGGTTTATGATTTTAGATTTGTTCATTGGTCAATGCAGAAATAAAATAAAACAAGTATAAAGACTTGTTTTTCTGGTTCTTCACGTATTTCTAAAAAAATATTCCCTTTTAAATTTTGTTTGTTGAGGTGACCATCACGCTCCTGGGAACTACGGACTCCTGGATATGGCAATGGCGGTCAAATGGGTTTATGATAATGTTTACGCTTTCCAGGTTAATATTATATGGATACAGGGTGAGAAAGAAAAAAGTTTGATTAGTGATGTCTCGTGCCAAATTATATCTTTATTTGTAAAATTCACATTTTTGACGTATTTAAAACTTTTTTTCATTTTTAGCTTATAGCTACAGTCTTAATTTTGTAAAGTTATTTTTTATTTTGCAAAAATACTATATATAAAAATACTATATATAAAAATACTATATATAAAAATACTATATATAAAAATACTATATATAAAAATTTCATGAAGTTAAAAAAATGTTTCACACTTTTTTCCTGTCAGGACAAGCATTGACGACTTTTCAAAGTATACAGTGCTCCCCAAAATAAAATGGTAAATGAAGATAGCTCCTCATAAATATACAGTGCTCCCCAAAACAAAATGGTAAATGATGATGACTTTTCACAAATAAAGAGTCTTGTAAAAAGATTGCAAACTAAAGAAAAGTCGTTTCATTTACCCTTTTATTTTGGGGAGCACTGTTTATTTATGAGAAGTTGTCTTCATTTACCATTTTATCATGTATAATTAAGGTGAAGAAAAAGCTATAATTCTTTTTATAACTCAAATAGACCATGAAAAAAATCACTCTCCTTCCCCCTCCCCCGCCCCCCTAACTATATTTTGGTTTATTTTCATATCCATTTTACACGTACTGCACCATATAAAAAAATAATCAGTGTAGTTGATTAAGCAAAATACACACGTCACAATCTAGCGTACTGCACCTAATAACAACAATGATCAGTGTAGTTGATTAAGCAATATACACACGTCACAATCTAGCGTACTGCATCTAATAACAACAATGATCAGTGTAGTTGATTAAGCAATATACACACGTCACAATCTAGCGTACTGCACCTAATAACAACAATGATCAGTGTAGTTGATTAAGCAATATACACACGTCACAATCTAGCGTGCGTATATTTTCCTCCATCTTGTCCTGACGGGCTTTTTTTTACTAACCCTGTATATAAAACCAGTAAATTTTTGTTAAATTATTCAATTGAAGTTCAATGTTGATTAATTTGAAAAGTTCTTATTAATTTTTAACATTATTAAAATTAATCAAAATTAAACGATTTAATGATAATTAATTCAAACTAAAATTCAAACAATAAATTACTAATTTTATAATTATCACAATAATGAGAGTTTTTTGATTCTTTGGAACTGTCACAACATAAAAAGTCAAATAGTCAAATGTAGTACTACGTTTATAATACGTATGCTTATATTGTTAAAAAAGTGATGTATCTATTATTAGAAGATTAGTTTTTAAGAACAATAATAATTATACTTCTACTACAGGGTGACCGTGAGAAGATAACAGTGTTTGGTCCTGAAGCTGGAGCAGCTAGTGCTGGTCTCCTAGCGGTCATGCCCAGGACTAGGTCAGCCAATAAACCATTTTTAAACTAAAAAGACGGATTAAAAAAATATAAATTTTTACATTATAATTGTATAGAATATATACTACAGTACAGAAGACACTCGGTAGACTGTACACTTTCACACTTCTTTTTTTGCTGTTAATGATTTTTTCTTAAAAAACTATCTTGGAACTTTAAAAAATGATGAAACACAATTTTAACGCGCCCTCTAAATAAATTAGTTGGATTGGAATATGGTTCGGCGTTTTATTAATGTTAATTGTATTTAGGAATATAGTTCGGCGTGTGATTAATGATAAATGTATTTAGGAATATGGTTCGGCGTGTGATTAATGATAAATGTATTTAGGAATATGGTTCGGCGTGTGATTAATGATAAATGTATTTAGGAATATTGTACGGCGTGTGATTAATGTTAAATGTATTTAGGAATATAGTTCGGCGTGTGATTAATGTTAATTGTATTTAGGAATATGGTTCGGCGTGTGATTAATGATAAATGTATTTAGGAATATGGTTCGGCGTGTGATTAATGATAAATGTATTTAGGAATATGGTTCGCCATGTGATTAATGATAAATGTATTTAGGAATATAGTTCGGCGTGTGATTAATGATACATGTATTTAGGAATATGGTTCGGCGTGTAATTAATGATAAATGTATTTAGGAATATGGTTCGCCATGTGATTAATGATAAATATATTTAGGAATATGGTTCGGCGTGTGATTAATGATAAATGTATTTAGGAATATAGTTTGGCGTGTGATTAATGATAAATGTATTTAGGAATATGGTTCGCCATGTGATTAATGATAAATGTATTTAGGAATATGGTTCGTCATGTGATTAATGATAAATGTATTTAGGAATATGGTTCGGCGTGTGATTAATGATAAATGTATTTAGAAATGTGGTTCGCCATGTGATTAATGATAAATGTATTTAGGAATATGGTTCTGCGTGTGATTAATGAGAAATGTATTTAGAAATATGGTTCGGCGTGTGATTGCTATAAGTGGATCTCCACTGGCTGATTGGGCAGTTTTTAACGACAAGGTTTATCAATAAATTATTATTTTCATCATGATTAACATTATCGTTATTTTCAAAACGTTTGTTCACGTAAGCATTGATTCGAAAATTTTCCGCTTAGTTTTAACTTTTAATGTAGTTATTGTTTTTTATTTCTTATGAACATCTTTTTTTTTGCAAAAGTTAACTGTTTTTTTTTTCATTTAAATTTTGTTTGTTAAATCTAGTTCCGAGCGATGAACAACAGTTTAGTGTACGGTGAGAGGATTGGTTGCACTATTGTAGAATCTTGGAGATTAGTTGACTGTGTTAAACGTGGCAGGTCAGTCAGCTCACGGGGTTTCTGAAACAACTTTGCGCCGTTATATTGTCTCCTTTAGCTTAATTCCATCTAATACGGTTCAATTTGTCCAAACATGCAAAACAAATTAATTGAATTTTTTAACTGATGATAAAAAGCTGCAAAGAAAAACCATATCATTGAACGAAAAAATGGGTTTTGTCCATAAAACGAATCTAACTGGCAAGTTCCTAGATGTTTGCTTTTATATATATTAAATTTCTAAATTTTTTTTAATACCAATAATATAGGTCCGTACAAGAGTTGGCTCATATAGAGTTCAAACCTGAAATTGGAACCTGGCCCTGGGCTCCTGTAGTACAGAAAAATATATCTTTACCAGAGGTAGTTATAATGATAGTTATAATAATAATAATAATATACTCTCGTGGATTTATCGGTTCTGTCAATATTTCAGAAAACTGTGACTTTCGATCATACTTTCGACCCCTTATACATAATTATATAACCTTGTTCTTAATACTTCTTGGTCTGTACACACGTTTTGATTTAAGAAGTATAAAATAAACAAATCCGCAGGTTTAAAGATTGCTCAATTATAGACCACGTTTGATTTCAAATGAAAGAAACCGAATGCTTCTGACTCTGGTTATTCCGGCCGGTGACTATGTATATAAACGCTCGAACCCGTTGACTGACTTGCCTTAAATGTTGAATGGGGAACGCGTGAGAACCACGGGAATGTTCTTAGCCTGGATACAAATGTTTGCCGAACCAACTTCATTTTTTAAGATTTTAGGGCCAAGCTGGGTTCACAAGCCAGCCAGTTATGCATACAATTTTAGACCGGCTGCTGCAATCTTAATATCTATTTCTTGTTCAGGCTCTGCTCGGGATGATGCAAGTTATATGCTTTACAATAATAAATCTATAGCTCCTGATTACGAGGTTTGTACAAAGCCACCTAGATTAGGGTTTCCATTCGGAAATCCGTTTCGCGGAATTGCGAGCATGTAAAATCTACTTACGTTGGAAACCCTACATAGAATCCTTGGCAAAATGGTTAATACACAACAAACCAACATTTGCCATCAGAATATTTTAAATATTGTTTTTACGTACCTTGATAAACCATTGTTTTTGGTTACTCTTACTCTATTTTATCTATTTTGTTTTCAAATGGTGCTTCAAGACCTATAGAAGTCATCGAATCTGAAATAGCAAAGCAACTTATTAAGCCTAAGTTTTAACAAATACTCTTAGCATAATTTACACTTTGCAAAAATTGTCGATTTTTGAGCATTTAGATTTTTTTAATAATAGAACAAATTATAATTCAGAAACAAGAATTCTGACAGTAGTTGCCGAAATTCAAATACGGGACCAGACTTATAAATAACGAGAAGAGAAGTAGTTGAACTACGTAGATAAAGTTACACCACTCTTCTTGAACTTGAACCGGTGCACAGGAGAAGTGGTTCAACTTCTTCGCACTATTAACTAATTCTGGTCCCTCAAAAACAAAAGAAGTATTTATATATCAAATATGAACTAAATCAGAATAGCAATTGGTAAACATACAAAAATAATGATAAAAAAATGTTTTTAGGTCACCTGGGACTTTTTTGACACGATGGTTCGCGATCACATTAACCAGTACAATTACACGCTAAACCCTATAGGAACGATTTCAATCATTTCTCAAGAATTACAATTTGTGTCTTAACATAAACATTTTATTGTACACAGTAAAAATGGTTTGAATTTATGAATATTTCATTATGGAAAATTTAGAATCTAAAAACCGTTTTTTAGACATATTTTTCAAATAAAGGAGTTTTTGCCACAAACAATCAATTCTTTTAGATAAAATTATGATAGTTTGAAATATCAGGTTGCAAGGATAGGTTAGAAAATCAGAATTTTTGGCTAAAACTCAGTTCTTTTGTTTAATACCTAAATACGCAGTAATATGATTTTAAAATGACCAAATTATAGTACCTCCAAATTTCAGTTAAATTTTCTGTCACGAAAATTCAAAAAATCTTGAAAAACATTCAAGCTTGATATAATTTTTTTAATTCCTAAGAAATGTTAATTTGCAAATCTACAGTCAGTGCCACATTCAAAGATAAATGGTTAACAATATGTTAACTTAAAAAATTCAAACATACACTTAGAGCCAAATATAATTGAAATTTTTGGTTCAGGTATTTTTAACGCAATAAAATACATGTATACCTACTACCCAGACCCAAACAATAGAACTCATATCAGGTAAAAAAAAACATTAAAAAGTTTTTTTGGATCATTTTTTTAAATATTTTTTTTAAAGATAATTTTTGAAATAAGAATAAGGGGGGGGGGATCATGGGTTGACTTTTTTTCCCAAGAAATATAACCTTGTTTATTGATTTTTTCTTGTAAACAAAAAAGTTTTTGATTCTGAAAATTATTTCAATATTGTTTTTAGTTCCTAACAATTTTTAGAAACTAAATAAAAAACTTTTAACTAAAACTTTTTAGGAGAAATTCAGAAATTTTTGGCGGTTAATACCACTGAGAATTCTACAACTCTATGGAACTATAGGTAACAAAAGTTAAGAAAATAAAACAGGGGCAATTTTTTTTTGTAAAACGAGGAGAATCTTTTTTTACAGTCTCGACATTTTGTTAATATTTTAGGCAAAGAGAGTGCGCTTTTTGGACAGAATACCTTCCCTCTGTAATAGGTAAGATACAAATATATAATAAATATAATATACTAGCCTTAGAGGGCGCTTCGCACCCATCTTCTAAATTAATTGTGAACATGTTCTCTTTGTGTACATCGTAAAACAAAACAAAAATATTTCGCGGATTTTCACAAAAAATTTCGTGGATTTTCAAAATTTTTAAAAATTTAATGAAGATCGAATTTTGATGGAGACAAATATTTGAAATTTTGATTTTTCATAAACCTTCCCTGGGGTCCCTAGATGTCCCACAAAAAATTTGGGCCCGATCGGTTCAGCCGTTTTGACGTTTATTGGATACAAACAAACAGACAAACAGACAAACAAACAGACAGACAAGCCAAATTTATAGATATATAACCCCTACCTACACCCCTAGAGAACTGTATAAATATATAAATAATATTAAGGATATATAACCCCTTCCTACACCCCTAGAGAACTGTATAAACATATAAATAATATTAAGGATATATAACCCCTACCTACCCCCCTACTACTGAGTTTTGGTGGGAACCTGAATCTCCTCTGCAGATTGCTTTCTGGTCTATGTCTTCAGTTTGTTTGTTTTTACTCGCTCTGCTCGTGATCGCCTGCCTACTCTGGAGGAATGCTAGACGGATTGCTAAGGTACATTTATTATATTTTAAAAAAGGGTTACCCAGAAAGAATGAGACTTCAGATACGACTGCATGCAGAATTTATACTGAATTTTTCCTTATATTTTTGATTCCCTGCAACTATAAACTTGTTTCGTACTTTTCCTTGTCCTTAGATTTAAAGAGTTTTAGGTCGTCTTTAGCATCTCATCCTTTATGGGCAACCATATTCTTCACCATCAGTTTTCCATGTGTCAACTGGTTTTCAACCAGCTGTCTCCGACCCCCCCCTTGTCCCCTTCTTTTTCATTTCTCCTCGTTTTCCCCTGTGATCAATAAATTCAGATTATATTTGTTTATTTTAAAATAAATATTTTAAAATTTTAAAGGGACTGAAAGCTTATTTTCAAGTGACCTTTCATTTAAAGAGGGTTCTCTTTTAGCCTTTGACTAAGGAGGATAGAGGAGATAAAAGGGAACCGTAATGAATCGGGGAGGGTGATAAAGTTACTTAATCACCCTAAAGCAGGGTGATTAAGTAACTTTATCGACGATGCCCCTTTTTTAATGAAAGTTCATTTGGAATGACGCTTACAGTCCCTTTAAGAAGTAAATTTCTAGTCAAGTTTTATTTATTTCTAGATGTGTATTAACAACAGTTAAATTTATTTAACAAATCTAACAAGAAACTGATTAAAGGAAGTTTTTTTTTCAAATTATAAAAGGGGGATAAGGAAGAACATTATTATAAAGTTGATTGGTACCGTTTACATCTTCTAATTGATATTCATTGTATAACAATAACAAAGGAATTGAGTATTTGCCACAAACTCAAATGTTCGAATCCCTTTATCTTTGCAATCTATGGGTGTAAACTGTTGTTATTTCAAACCTAGACATTGGGTTTCAAATAGGGTTTCCATTCGCACAACTTTTGCGCAATTTTTTGCGGAACGAAAAGCAAAATTTTTCTTTCTTTGCGCATCAGTTTTGCGCGAAAAAACAACAATTTGCGCAATCATTCCTAAAAGTCATTTTGTGCAAAATTGCTCTATTCCGCTTTTGCGAGACTCAAGTTTTGCGCAATTCCGCAACTAGAGTTTTGCGCAATTCCGCAATTTCGTAAAAATCAAACGGTTGGTGACGGTGTGTGTTTCTTAGAATTCAATTCTGGAAAAATCTTGTTTTGGAATGTCTTCCTATTGGTCCCTTTTACATAATTGACCAATGACAGTTAAAAAGAGTTCAAATCCCACAATTTTCTCGAAAATTTTAGTTTTGGGCATGCATATTTCCTAAAAGTGGATTCTTCAGGCATTGGTTACTTTCTTGCATTATTTTATATGACATTAAAAAGATTTCAGAAATTTGATTAAAAAAAATTAAGAATATAATTCATACTTGATTAGGCAAAGCTTTTAAGGGTCACTTGAAATTATTTAATAGGATTAAAATATTGCCAAGTTTCACACTCTCTAATTTCTATTTTATTAATTTTGGTCCCTTAATTAAAACTTTTTGTAACTGGAAGTAACCAATTGAGTGTAGTATAATCGTTATCATACTTGTATGTTAATATTTTTCTCATGTATGGAATAAATCTTCAGTTGTTTAATTCTAAGCTTAGAATATCAATTTTTGACAATTTGCCTAAAAAGTTACATCTTGCGTAAAACTTGCGGTTTTGCGCAAATTGCGCAAAACAAATTGCGCAAAACTAAAATTTCGTTTCATTCGCAACTTTCGCAAAAAATATTCCCGATTTTGCGCAAATTGCGCAAAAAAAGAGCGCAAAACCGCGCAAAACTCATTGCGTTTCATGCGCAAAAATAGCGCATAAGTTCTCAAAAAAAAATTTGCGCGAAAATAGCGCAAATTTTGCGCAAAAGATTTAGCCATTTCGTGGAAACCCTAGTTTCAAATTTATAGGGATTAGAAAATTTGAGCCTTTACCGCACTATAACATCAAAAAAGATTTTTACCCGGGCGACGCAACGGTGCAGTCTTACTGCCAATTGTTTTGGCAAAGCAAAAAACGTGGTTTCTCGTGCATTCCTTTTAAGGATAGGTTTTTTTCATTAATCTGTAAACTTACCTGCACTAACAACAATAATATTCTAATTACAGTTTACCGTACTGTACTATATCTCCTTATAAAATACAAATCAAGATTAAATATAATTTAAAAAACGCAAATATTGAAGAAAAAAACTGATATTTATAATTTCTGTTTAGCACCGTTATTTTGATGGCGGAAGCATGAAAAATTTCCCGGCAGATTTTGATCATCTTGTGGACGATTACAACAAGGAGGTTTCTCCAACATTAAGCAGACGAACCACAAGAACCAACACAGAGGGAGGGGGAGGTATCCCCCTAGGGGGTATGCAACATTCCCCCTCCCTCCACTCATTGGGGGTTCTTGGTCTCCGTCCTGTTCCCCCTCCTGTACCTGAACATGGAGCCCCCTCAGGACCTCCATCCATAGCCCCATCTTTAGCCCCCACCATGATGATGAAGTCCCTGCCCCCAACCCCTGCCTTGTCCCAGCGTGGACTCCTCCAAGGAGAGATTACCCCCAATATGTCCCAGCGTGGACTGGTTGTAGGACCTGGAGAGACCCCTAATGGAGCTGGACCTTTTGTTAATGCAGGTCAGGAATCCTCAAAGAAAATGATAGAAATAAAATAAAATTTGAGTAGAAATAACGCTAACTACTCTTTATTTTTCTTGGTTTGTAAAAATTAAGGTAAAATGATAAAAATGTATTTTTTAGGTTTACACAATACAAGCGATGATTCTATTCTTACAAATCAAAGTGGAAATATTATAGTGGATCCCCGAGGAATGGATCCACGTAGTAGTAGTAGAATTCAACCTAGTCTTGAATCCCTAGGAGGATCCAGGTATATGGAGCCGGTCAACCGATCCAATGAACCTCAACCTATGGGACTCCCACGCAGCCATGTTAAACTTATGCCCGGGCGCATGAGCTCATTAAGCCAAAATAGCGCCCCGGCCGCACCGCAGCAGCAAAGACAAAATAATCCGTCCTCCAGACCTCAGAGTAGGGCGGGCGGTCGCAACAATGGCATTCCTTTCACTGCAGTTTAAAAGGGCGCGATGGCGCAGTCAAGTTCAAGTTAGCATTATCTGTAAATATAATTTAGTTTATAAAACGTATTTCGAAAATGGCTCTAAGACTTTTAAGAAATGGAACCTAGGATAAAGGTTAAAATGGAACCTAGGATAAAGGTTAAAACTGCCCCAAAAGAATATATTTTTTCCAATGCCTTTTGTAGTTGTATGCTCATAAACCAATAATACTCTCATTTTATCATTTAAAAATTCAAGAAACATGGCACAAAAATTAATGTGATGAATTCACTCATATCTTCTGTATATATAAAAACTCATTTCTTCATTCATGTAACATTTGTATATCCTTTTAAAATCATGTAACATTTGTATATGCATTTAACATGTAAAAAGTACAAATTTCTATTGTTTTGCTAATTGTGACGTATTTGATAGGTAACCTGTAATTTCTGTAAAAGTTTGAGAGCTCAAATCATGAAAAAATCACAATTTTTTTTCCAAGGAAATAACTTTAAAGATCTCAGTGAGCATGCAATGAACACACATGTTATGAAATAGACAAATAAAATATTATTGAATGACATTTTAATCGAATATTTTCTATGTAATGAAATATATATGATTGATACACAGATATAGTTTGCTCTACAGGGTGTCCCAATAAACATGGGAATTAAGTGACGACTTCTATATTGTCTTTGATCCATGCGGCATTTTTCATGAAAACAATTATTGCAGTACTCAAGTATAAACATCTAATCTCGCCTGGTCTTGAGATTTGCAAAATGTGATCTACCATTTTTGTATCTTTAAAATTGACGGAGATATTGCAAAATTTCAATTTTTTTAAAACCGTGTTAAAGGGAGTGTTCGCGAAAAATGAAAGGGGATATAGGCTTACGGCAAAAAAGCTTTTATCGCTACTAATCTTACTTCTTTCTGTTGCGTCTATAAGGAGAAAATTGTTAAAAACGACTCATACCGAAGAACGTAGCGTACATATAAATTCAGAAAGTTGCAATATTCAACTCGGATCGTAAAAAAATCAATTTAATTCCAAACAAATCATAAGCATCGATAATTTTTCGACGCATTCATATATAGTTGATATTTCATTATATTTTTTAATTTTTATGATTAGAGAGTTCCTCTTGAAAACATGTATTCCTGTTTCGAGGATTTTTGATAATAAAGACGACATTTTCATATTTTCCAGGAATGTTCGAAGATCCAGCGCCAGGGAAATATTATTTTAAAAAAACATAATCAAAGATATTAACTATATACGAATGCGTCGAAAAATAATCGATGACTGTTGTTTGTAATATCAAATAGACGCAACAGATAGAAAGCGCTTATTTTTCGCCGTAAGCGTCTACACCTTTCTCTTTTCGCGAACACTCCCTTTATATCTAATATACTCGTCAATTATTTGGACCCAAGGAAGGTAGACCACGCTATGAAAAGCTCGTATAAGACATGCAGCCTCGTTTTTATAATTTTAAGTCGTCTTTCGATTCCCATGATTATTGGGACACCCTGTAAAAAATATTTAGATAACAAAATATTTTTTGTACATTGACAACCAGAAAACTCTCATTGTTATCTGTTATCATCATTGTTATCATCATTATATCTGTGAAGAGCTTTTCCACAATGAGCGGGGTCTCCGTTCTCAGAATCCTGGATATCCTAGTTCTCCTCTGTATCCAGGTTATTCCAGTGGGTAGTTCTGACTGGCTGGTACGGGAGCGAACGGGAGATGAATCACTTGACGAGGTCTATATTGGTATTCTTGGCTGTGCCAGAATCCAATGGAGAGAGGTCCCTTGGGGATGCTGATGAATCTGAAGAAGCATCCTCTGGGATATCGATGGGGAAGGAGGCCGGTGTCCTCCTTGGTCCTCTACTAGGCATAGTCAAGGTATATAATAGTCTGAGAGCTGTCATAGAAGTACAAGTCCCCAGTCCTTAAGGGGGATTAACGCAGATATAATCTCTAACGTCTATCCTGTATAAGATCCTGGAGTGATCCACAGGTATCAGATATTGTGATACAAAGCAAATAGGAGTATTTGCAGAAGTAGCTATGACTTAATCATTACACTATACCGTCGTCTTCCTATCCCATTTTTATCTGTTTACAAAATGGTATAAAGCTAAACAAAGAACTTAATTGATTGCCTAAATCCCTAATTTTTCTAGCCCTATATCTTTGAAACCTGATGGCGGAAACCTTTGTCAATTCAAACTTTATCCATTATCAAAGCATTCATAATTAGAAATTATAATAAGATTACCATGCCTGATGACCATTACAACATGATAAGAACCGAATGAAATATAAGTAAATATAATTAAAAGCATTTATTAAAATTAAATGGCAATTAAAGTATAAAGTTTAAAATATGATACAAAACTTATCTATCTCTAAGACTATGATTATCTTAAACAAAGATGAATAATATGCTTTTTAACATCGGTAATTGTTAAACAAAAATTTAGGAACTGAAATAATATTCTTTTTACAATCTAGCATATTTGAAATTTAACATTAAGTAGATATAAATGTAATTGTAAATTTAAGTGCATATGTAAATTTAAGTACAGATGATTTTTTAATTTTTGGTAACTTATGCTGCTAAATATTAGTAGACTGAGATATACGTATGTTGCTTGGTTATAAAAGTAAAAATATTTAAGTTTTATAATAAGTAAAAATTTCAATCTTGGACGAAGGTAAAAATTTAAATATTGATCGATTAATTGATAAATCTACAAGAAATCAATATTAAAAATATTAAAAAATTCTAGTTTATTATAGATGACAAAATTTTATAATATTTTCTGGTATTTTTGGTATTTTTCATCATCAGCAGTATAGAGTTAGCCGGCTCAACAGCTTCCCTAAGATTTGGTTTTCACCAAAGCTGAGAACTGTATCCACCTGGAGGGGGCCTCTTAAACCTAGATAGAGACGCAGGTTGGTTGGTTGGAAGTAGGGTTTCCAACGGAAGTGGATTTTTCTTACAATTACAGGGTCCGCAATTGCGGACCCTGTAATTTCCTCGCAATTCCGCACTTTTCCGCGCAATACGAGAACAGTTGCGCGCAATTCCGCGCAACGGAATTCCGATTGGAAACCCTAGCTGCATAGATACAGATGTTCCACGAAACATGACAGTTGGTAAATAGCTTAGAATGTCTTCTTCCATAATTTGTTAAGTTGTTCGATTCCAAAGACATTTATAAAAATATTATTTGGGAGTTATGTTATAGTAAAATTGATTTCAAAGTAAAATATATTTAAACAAAAGATTTTTCTAACAAAATAAACTGCAAAAAGCATTTAATATCTCATACAGTACAGGGATGACGTCATTCATAACTTTTAATCAACTGTCATGTTTCGTGGGACACGCTGTAGGTAGATGGTGGTTGGGTAAGTAGGTTGGTAGGTAGGTAGTTAGGCAGGGAGGTAGATAAATAAGTAGAAAGCTAGGTAGATAGACCAGTAAACAGGTAGGTAGATTATATAGGTTTAATAAGGTAGATTAGTTAAAGGTAGGTTGTCTAGTAGGTTAACGCTTTTTTTGCAATAAATCCCTTCAAATCCCTTTTAAAGCAAAATTTCCAAAAATTGTTGAATGGTTGGATGCTTTCTATAGGTTCTTAATAACACAAATAGTTTTATTTAAACCACAACTAAATGTCGTCGTCAGTGTCTAATGTTTAGCTATACCTGGAGAAGTTAGGTATAACTACACATGGAGCTGGAACGGATGGGATATCCAGACCTCCCTTAGTCCCCAGTGTATCTCCTGTCAGTGGATTTACTGGCAGAGGTTTACGGCTTCGTCTGAAAACAAACAAATATGTCAGCGCTCTCTGTTAAATACAGATTTATTTCGATTAAGGTCTATCTGAGCCTATGTTCCGGAAACGTAATAGTAAAAAGCAATCTAAGAAGATATGTTATATAATTTATACCATGAAATAGGTAAAAAATCATTTAAGCAGAGAGGATTCGAACAACGAGATATAAGGAGGCTACAGCTTTTTTTACACTTTCTAAACACAAAAGTTTTGTAGCTTAAATCTAGCTTCACCACTTAGACTATTTAAGATAAATACTTTATGAATAATTTCTAAATTATTTCTCGATGGTTTTCAAGAATTTCTTCAGATTTTAACTTAAATCCTTCAACTAAAAAGTTCAGTCGGTTAATCTAAGCGCTATTACAGACAAAAGATTCAACCTCTACAGATTATTTTAAAAAAAACTTCGCAATTTGTTAATCGATACCTTTGGTTAGCAGAGGGCGGGGCACAGCTGACACTCCTCCTGTTAGGGAAGCGAGGAGGAGGGGGACCAAACAACGATTTATACGAATCCCCTGAAAAATGTTTTTTAAATATTCATTGATAAGATTTATATACAGGGTGTTCCACGAAACATGACAATAGCTAGACGACTTGAAAGTCGTCTTTGGTATTTGAATTTATTTGTGACATTTAGTCTTCTATCTACTTTAACATGTATGATTCTTGAAACAATTAACACATAATTCTCCTAGCCCTGGCATTTCCAAAAAGTGGTCTGCGTTTTTTGTGCTTTCAATATTACCGGAGATATAAAGAGTTTGGTTCAGATTTCAATTTTGTTAAATAAAAGCAAAATTGTCGAAATCTGAACGAAATTCTTCGTATCTCGGGCAATATTGAAAGCCCAAAAAAGGCAGACCACATTTTGGAAATGGCAGGAGAAGGGAAATTTTGTGATTATTATCTCTAGAAATTTACTTCTAAAATTAGGTTGACAAATAAACGCAGCTAATTATATCAAAAATCAAGACGACATTGAAGTCGTCCTGCATACTGTCATGTTTCGTGGGACACCCTGTAGTTTCAACTTTCAACTTTAAGTAAAACTATGTCTTTCCTCTCATGAAGGAAAAATTTATCAGCGTAAACTAAAAATAAATAACAAAAGTAGAAAAATTAGAAAAAATATTAAATAGTTTAATAAAGCTAATGAAATATTTTAATATATTACATAATATGAATTATAAAAGAAAAAGTGATAATTAATTAAAAGGTGTACTTACAAAATTCATAAAAAATTTTTTGTTTCGTAAAAAAATTCTATAATTTGTCAACCAAAACTTCGGTTATCATCAAATATCTTTTATTTATGCAAATATTTTATGCAAAACAAACAAGACATTAATTTTTTAATATATTTCAAGGTCAATTTTTAGTTATAATTTTTAAAGACAAATTCTTGAGAAGTTGTTCTTTTCCCCAAAAGAAAGCCGTTTACATTTTAAATAATTGAGAACAAGAAAAATATTTCTTTTAGTGGGATATTTCAAAAAACTAAAAAACTGAGCGGCCATGAACCCATAAACCATCCAGGTTTAAACACTTGGATATAAACAGACAAGCCGCTTAAGCCGAAACTTTAATTGCGCAAACAACTTTTTAACCTTCCTGCACCGAAACAGTTAATCGGAGGGGGGAAGTAACATCTTACGAAAAGCTGGTTTATATTTAAGACAAAATTTTATGAATCAATTTTTACCCTCCTGCCTTGCTCTCCTGCTAAGCAGCAGTTCAGGTTGTTCATCACTCAGCTCAAAACTTGACGCCATTCTACGTAATTCAAATTAGAACAATTTAAGAGTAGCTGCTACTCCTCCATCTTTTAATTTGAAATAATGAACACAAAATATTAAAAACTTCTTAATTTCTTACTCCATAACAAATTAATTAAAAATGTGTTACATGAAATATCTAAGTCTACTCTACAATTTGGTTCAGTTGTTTCAGTTGACTAACAGGTTTATGCCACGTAAATAAATAAGCAATTAAGCTGTACTCCCCTTTCCTCTTTCTCTAATAACCTTTACACAAGACTCTACCCCCTCCCCTTATTTTCTTTGTATGGTTATTCCCCCCCTCTCCCGGCGGCATTTCAGGTATTTTCTTGATTAAGTAGATTATAGATCTTTTATTCACTGCAAGGTTTTTACAAGTTTACAGTCTGATGATTAATGTCCTTGTATTCTGTATCAGATTGTTTTTAGATATTTCAGAAATCTACCCAACCTCAAATATTTACACCTTGTATTCTATATCAGATTGTTTGTAGATATTTCAGAAACCTACCCAACCTCAGATGTTTACCCCCGCCCCCCCAACCCTTGTCCTTTCCTTTCCTTATGCCTCACTTTCAGTCCCATAACAGATTTTTTTCCTTAATCTTAATCTTACGTCTTAGAATATGTGTATGTATGTATGGAATTGTGAAAAGAAAATATCCAAAACTTTCCCTCCTAGCCCTTCCCTTATCCTGTTTTCTACCTTATTTATATACTTTCCCTCCTAGCCCTTCCCTTACCCTGCTTTCTACCTTACTTTTATACTTTCCCTCCTAGCCCTTCCCTTATCCTGTTTTCTACCTTATTTTTATACTTTCCCTCCTAGCCCTTCCCTTATCCTGTTTTCTACCTTATTTTTATACTTTCCCTCCTAGCCCGTCCCTTATCCTGCTTTCTACCTTATTTTTATGCTTTTCCTCCTAGACCTTCCCTTACCCTGCTTTCTACCTTATTTTTATACTTTCCCTCCTAGCCCTTCCCTTATCCTGCTTTCTACCTTATTTTTATACTTTCCCTCCTAGCCCTTCCCTTATCCTGCTTTCTACCTTACTTTTATAATTTCCCTCCTAGCCCTTCCCTTATCCTGCTTTCTACTATACTTCATTAATACCACCCACCCTTTTCCATCCTCTCCTTTTCACCTTTATAACCCCTCCTTTCCTCCTCTGGACTGACCTGTAAGGTTTCCTGGACCTGGACCTGGACTTCTCCGGGGACATGTCGGGGGAAGACTCGCTCTGAGAGGACGGGGTCGGAGAGGAGGACGTCATTGAGGAGCTGAACAATGAAAACAAAATTATTTGATCAACTTTGCTGAAAATAGAACAAGGGTACATCTACTTCAATCGCAATCTTGATTAGTCAATGAAAATTAACAATTTAAAGGCAGAGGCGGCTGGAGGGATCGATAAGGGACGCAACTAGGGAGAGTAAGGATAGCTGCTAGACAATTTAATTCTATGTTGAGGAATGGATTAAAAGAATTTTCTAAAATATTTAAGTTAAAACGCCCTCAACAAGAAGAAAGGAAGAGTTAAAAAATTCTTTGAATAACTTATAACAGCGTAAATATGACACAAATACATGAATCAAATATATAATACGTTTTCCTCCTCTTGTTCTGCATGCAAGAAATCAGCAATTACAATATTTGCAAATATTTGTTTTGAAAATGCCAGTTAATGCAGGATTCATGCTGTTAAAGCCATGAATCAAGGACCTTTAAGGATAACTAGGTCATACAACTTAGGAATTATAATTTGATTGGAAGATGAATTAACAAAAAAAACAATTTATTCAGATATTTCTTTAGTTAATTACAATTTCAGTAGTGATTTGAAATTTTGTTTAAAGAATGAAAGTTCGGTTAATGTTAAGTTTTTAGTTTATAAAGTGATAAGAAAATGAATAGATAAATGACTTAATTGATGAAAAATGAATAAAATGATAAACAATTTTATGAAAAAATGAAAGTTCTATTAAGGTTAACTTTTTAGTTAACAAAGTGATGAATAGGTGAAAAGATAAATGAATTGATTAATGAAAGAATAAAGGATAGGATGAATATTTATATTAATAGATGAATAGATGAAAATGAATGAATTACTTGTTACTAAGTGTAGGACTGGATGGTCCCGTCTGAGAATCTTCACTCCAATATCTGAGAGAAAAAAAATAATATAAATAATTAAATTAATAATTATGCAATATTTCTAAAGTGCACTAATTGCATAAATTGTATTATAAAGGGGTGGCGTAGGTAGAAACTGAAGTATGCAATAAAGTAATCGATCAAACTGGAATATTTGATCAATAATGACTTTCCCTTTTATAATCAATCAGAATAATTGATTTAATGATTTTACTAATTTTAGGAAAATTATTGAATCAAATAGTTTAATTTTCTGTGAATATTGAAGAAAAAAATAGATTTATGTTGAGAACATTTTTAATAAAATTGTTGAAGGCACCATCTGTAGTAACATGGTTTTTATACAAGAGTTGAAATATTATTCTAATAAATGTGAAATTGGAGAGTCAGGGGGGGAGATTGGGGAATATAGATTAGATTAGATTAGATTAGATTAGATTAGATTAGATTAGATTAGATTAAATTAGATTAGATTAGATTAGATTAGACTAGATTAGATTAGATTAGAATAAATTAGATTAGATTAGATTAGATTAGATTAGATTAGATTATATTAGATTAGATTAGATTAGATTAGATTAGATTAGATTATAATTAAATTGATTTAAATTTAAAGCGCTAAAAAAGCTCACATGTTTAGTTTAAAAAATGCCAAGATATAATTAAGAAAATTGGATTAAATTACGGGTTTAAACTTGTGATTTTAAAACGGAGAGTTTACATTAGTGAATTTAGACCGTAAATAAATATCCTAAATAGTTTACATTTTGCCGGAAACTTAATTCCCATTGTTTTTCTTAATTAAATTTTAGTTTTTTCTTAGTTTACTCAGCGAGGACCACTCGACACTCCTGTATGCCAAGTCCATTAGCGCCTGATCCAATCAGGGTTCAGTTATGTGTTTGGTGTCTATTCTGAACCAATAGAAATAATTTAGCAGTAACATCTATCTCAATATCCAATTAGAGTTATGCATCCTTTAATCGGTATTATCACTAAATGGAAATATTTACTTCTACACTACACTATGGTGATCAGGAACATGATCATGGGAACCATGGTTTACAGTTAGGGTGAGCCAAAAAAATATGCGCAATGCGCATACTTTATTTTAAGATTTTGAGGACATTTTTGTTCATGTTTGTAACGGTGGAATCGATTGCTGCGTGGGACATGACATGGCACCAATGAAGGTTTCTGACCGGGTAAGGTTTAGAAAATTTGTATATATCTTTGAAAAAACTAGAAAAAAAATTTGGAATATTTTCATGACATTCTGTACAAATGTAATGATCGGTGCTAAAAACATTGGTTTGAGGTTGCAAAATTTTACCAATTATATTCTGTGCAAAAATATGCAAATATATTTTAGTTTTTGTTAATCCTATAAATTTGAATTTTAATTATTTTTATTAACAAAGAGTTATTGTGTTGAATTTCCAGGTTTTATTATGGTTTTGGTCAGAAAATATGAGAATTCGGGGAGAGTTGTGGTCTCTAGTCGATATTTAAATCTTTAAATAAATATTAAATTTTTTATTTAAAATATAAACAAATTAAATTTTCTCTATCTAGAGATATATTTATACATAGGAGTAGTTTAAAATATTTTGGTTTTTTGTTCTTTAAAAGAATTTACCATAAACTGGGCCTTTCTGTTTTTGGATTAAAATTTGCATAATAGTTTCAGTATAAATCATTTTTTGATTACAAGAAGTTAATAAAAGTAAAAATATGAATCTTTTCTTTTGGCCAAACTGGTTTTCAGACACCACACCAGAGTCAGACATAGCATTGAAATCTGATTGGATGGACATTGGAAAATATTTTGTGAACTTAAAACTGTAATAACGCCATTCTACATTTCCTCTATTCTTTCTGAAACAGGAATCAATTTTTAAAAGAAAATGATAGATATCTCATGTATTTTTTATCAGCAAAACATAATTTATAAGAGCACTCTTGTAAACCTACCAGTCTACTATCTTGAAGTTCTGTTCATGGAGGCCCTTCAAGATGATTTTGTTGTTTTTGTGTGTTTACGTATTCAAAAAACTTAAATTATTTCTAAAAGCTTTTCTTGATATAAAATAATGAAGAACGAGGCTCTGTTGTTAATGCAATTCTAAACAACACGTATAAACTATAGAAAGATCAAGATTAAAGAAGTGTTTCCTAGAAGTTTTGATGAGGAGAAAGAGATCAGAAAAATAAAGAACAAAAAAATGACAGACGAACCTAACAGGCTTAAATTTAAAAAAAAGTTACAGACAAACAGAAAAACAGACAAACTTACAAACAGAAAAACTATGTGATGTGGGAAGTGGTCTGCTTCTAAGGGGATTACAGTTGTCGCGGTTAATTTAAGTTTAGCCAGGTGAAACCAAGGATGATTAGTAGAATTCAGGAGATATATATAGCAGGAGGGATTCAGGAGATATATATAGTAGGAGGGATTCAGGAGATATATATAGCAGGAGGGATTCAAGAGATATATATATACATAGCAGGGGAATTCAGGAGATATATATATATCAGGAGGGATTTAAGAGATATAGAATAGTATAGAATAGAATAGAATAGAATAGAATATAATAAAATAGAATATAATAGAATAATATAGAATATAATAAAAAGAATAGAATAGAATAGAATAGAATAGAATAGAATAGAATAGAATAGAATA